GTAAGTTAATTTAATCACTAATTAGTACTTCTTATATGTCTTCGGTAATTCTTTTGAACAACATGGACTCACATTTTTTACAATCCTCTAATGCAACGCTGTTAGTGATTCGTTTAATATTCTCTTTGTCCCGCTGCAGGCAAACTAATATTTTTACTAGCGATAAAGCGACACGTTGAGCTAAGTTCCACATTAGCTCTATTTTGCATTTTCAGGCAGTCTTTTTATTTGAAGTTATAATAACTTCTGAAAACTTTCTTCTACTTCTTTCGATCAAATACATATCACACGTTCAAAACAATACCGTCAAACGAAAATTTCACCTTTTCAAATTGAAACTTATTTTCAGAAATTTTAAAGGCCATTTCCCGAAAGTTGACTTTTTCGGTTAGTGACGGTATTGATGTCAACGTGTCACACATGCACTTCACACCTTTTTCCCATCTGGTACGCAGGCAACTGTCCTGACACACATATTCAAATCATCAACGTGCTTCATTGTTTTCATACACTTTCGTTGGCTACGGATATTCTTGAGCTGGCCCTGTACTCTTGTTCTCCGTCTGACATACGTCCGAAGTAATTATTGTCAAATAAGTAATACTCCCTCACACGGGTGTGTAATGGAAGATATCACAACAAATAATCTATTTCCACTTGGTATAATAACATTTGATATAATTTCTAAGGATATAATCACTCACTGTATATCAACAAAAGGTATAACAACAAAACGCATAATTTCAATGTGTATAATGAACCTTTAGTATAACAAACGTTAGATATAATGATTAAGTGACATCATGAACAAATGGTATACTAATGGTATGCTACCAGTACAATGTATTAAACAATATAACACAATATTTCTTGTTACGAATAGTCGAAGCGCCTTACATTATGTTGATAAGATTTTTTTTTATTTTCTATTAAATGTACAATCGCAAAATATAATTGTTTTTGTATAGCTTTTTGTGCTTTTTGTGTTATAAAATATATTTATTAAAACTTTAAGCAGAATATTTAATTGCATATACTAACTAACCTAACCTAAACCCACAGGAGGAGGTCGAACCAACTAGCAAATGCAAACAAATTCGATTCTGGCAGCTTTGCCATGTACTAACCTTACCTAAACCCACAGGAGGAAGTCGAACCAACTTGGAAATGCAAACAAATTCTGTTAATTCACCGTTGCACCTAAATACCACTGGAATTATATTCATATTTTTTTTCACACATACACATTCAACATTATACTCAGTGAATGTTATATCTGAAATATTTATATAAAATGAACATTATGCCATCGGTATATTAGATTGAAAGTTGTTATATCAATCGTCTATATACCCAGTGACATTCATATCATGCAAGAATATGTCAAATGTCTGTATACCATAAATTAATTATATCTGTTGAGCGTTCGACTAAAAATATGTCTTTTGTTGTTATATATTACGAATCGCACGTATGAATCGTAACTATATAGATACCCAAAATATGCTGCTCAAAACAATTAGGGGAACTAAACTTTAAAGTAGAAGTAAACTTTTTGCTTAAGGTTTTAATTATAACTAGCCACTAAATAATGTACAGGCATTGTCGAAGAAATTAAAAAACAAAAGATCATCGGTGTTTTTGTTAGTAGTTCTCAATAAAGTGGCCAAAAGTCTTTATACACATAAAAACAAAGTGACGCCATTGAATTTTCTTTACTTTCTAATCAAAGAAAACACATTTAAAGTGGTTTTTCAGGTCTTTTGAGTATTAATAGAGATTGAAGTGAGTCTTTTGAGTATTGTTATTTATTGAAGCGAGTGAGTTTAGGTCATCATGCCAGATATGACTGAATTGCATGTCTCCCGAGCTGTCACTTTGCTGGAAGAGGGTCGAACTATGCGTGAATGAATGATCTAGGAGTTCTGGTATCTACAGACTTTGGAAGCGATACCGTGATATGGAAGAATACACACGGAGGCGTGGTCAAGGTCGAAAAGTAAAACTACAAGTTTGCAAGATCGCTACATCGTCAACTGTACTTTACGTAGCCGCACCACAACTGCAAGAGATCTTCAAAATACACTAAGGACGGTTACTGGCGTAGAAATTTCCGACCTGACGGTAAGAAATAGGTTGATGGAAGTTAATTTGAAATCCGACCAGTTCGGGCTGTGCGTCTAACTATTCAACATAGACAAGCTCCTCGACGGTTCGCGCAAAATCACGCTAATTGACAACTTCGACTTTGGAGGCCAGTGCTTTTTACTGACGAATCACGATTCCGTCTAACATGTTGCGATGTTCGTCTCCGTGGTTACAGACGCCCAGGCGAGTGATACAGTAGGTAGGTAGTCCAGGAATACGACAAATTTAGAAGTGGCTCTGTGATGGTTTAGGGCGGAGTTACTTTGAACTAGCGCACAGACCTCGTCGTTGTTCCCGAGCGGTTGCGTGCTCAAACTTATGTAGAAAACGTGCTCGAAGATCATGTTTTGCCCGCAGCATATGGTATCGGCCCAGATGTTCTGTTAATGCAAGATAATGCCAGGCCACATGCTGCAGCCATCACGTCAGAGTACTTACGGCATCATGAAATCCGTGTAATGGAGTGACCTTGCATGAGCCCTGACCTAAATCCGATTGAACACATTTGGGACTTGCTTGACAGGCGCATCCGGAAGCGTCCTATTACACCTCAAACACTGCAGCAACTTACTGAAGCTTTGATTGAATAATGGAAGCGAATTCCACAAGAAGATGCTCGGAGGATCATACGTGAGACGCACTATAAGTTTCCGGAATGAATAAGAAAAAAATACTATAAATGGTCAGAAATTAATTTATTGTTTCTCAAAATATTCTACGTTAGTGTTAATGCATTTTTTCATACGAATGAACCAATTTTAAAAACATTTATGGCACTCCACGTGACAATCTCTGAAACATATTTTTCATACTCTTCGAAAGCCTGTTCAGGTGATGAAAATCGATGACCGCGTAACTGGTTCCTAATTTTTGGAAATAAATAAAAGTCACAAGGTGCCAGATCGGGACTGGATTCACGGTACGACGATTCTCCAAAGCAACAGTAGCCACGTGTCCAGTTTTATTAAAAAAAGATGCAATCATCCGCTTAGAGGCACTTTGCATGCGCGCTACTTTGATTGGTTTCGGCTCATCTCGAAAGACCCATACGCTCGATTGCTGCTTTGTTTTGGGATCGTAACTATAAATGCATGTTTCGTCACCTGTTATTATGTCCCACACCAAATTTGACACCCCTTCGTTGAATCTGGTAAGCATGGCATTGCACCAAGTGACGCGATCCGTTTTTTGAGCCTCCTGTCAAATTGTGTGGGATCCACCGAGAGCACAAATTTTTCACACCCAAATGTTTGTGTAGTATTGATTATATTTGACTCATGTCTATGCCTAAAGATGCCCGAATCTCATGGTATGTCACATGCCTGTCTGTTTTAATCATACGGCACACACCATCGATGTTTTAGTTGTTCACAGCAGTGGACGTGCGATCATCACGAAATTCGTCACTGAGATAGATTCACACGACCGCGTTTGAATTCTGCAAACCAGCTATAAATAGTCATCTTGCATGACGCTTCATCGCCAAAATCAGTTTGAAGCCGAGCGAAGCTCCGCTGAGCTGTTAAATTACTTAAAGTCGTAGAAAATCATACTACGAAAATTTTCACGAGGTAAATCCATGGTGATGTAGACAACCAATTTCTAAAATGACGCCACAATGCAAAAACAAGTGACAGTTAGATGAAATAAACTGTATTCTACAGCCAAAGAGTTCCATTTTCAAATGTTGTAGTTATTTTTTAAATATCGTTTATGTAAGTGGCCAGTTTCGGAAACTTATAGTGTGCCCTAAGCATGCCGCGTCGTTGTCAAGCTGTGATTAGGGCTCATGGGGGCCACGCACGTTAAAAGTCACTAAAGACGAATATTGAATCGATATAAGAATAATTCTTTGACAGACCTTTTTTATCACCAATTAGTTTTTCGCCAACAATATATATGTACATTTTTATTTATTTTTTTTAACTAAAAAAAATACAATATGTGTTTCTTTATTAATTATAGTAATAAAAAAATTAACAAGTAAAAAATTTACATAAAATTTATTTTAAACCAATTTGTAGTAAACAATAGAAAGGATCTTGTTCCCCTAATTGTTTTGAGCAGTATATAAGCAAAGAAATGTCATGAAACGTTATTATCAAAGTGTGAATGCAGGTGTGCTAAGCCTTCTATTTTTATATATATATATATATATATTCTGGAATTGGAAAAGGAAACACAATTTAACAAACGCACTACGGAGCCAGGAGAACATTCGAATTCGAGAAATGAAGCACAAATGACGTCTGTGACACGACAAAATGGCGGCACAAAAAATGTTTTTGATCCCGATTATGTTACCAGTATAAAAAAATTATGTACGACCTCAATAGTCTTTTATTATAATTATTATATTAAACGAAATTGAGTTAAAATATATATTGCAAAATGTGAATTGTTCTAAGCTTTTCAGATTACGGCTTGAAAAGTTTCTAAACGTTCATTATCGTCAAAATTTTTGTAAAGTAAGTACCATTTAAAATGTATTTTTTGCTAAGTTATCTTATTTGTTTACATTGTGGGCATTTAATTATGATTCAGACTATAAGTTTAAAAATCGTTGCATCAGTGCAACAACGCTTAGTACTTTGTTCGGTAAGTGAGCCTAAAGTTTTGTAATTTTCTTTATTGATGAAGCATTGTTATGTGGGTATCTTGTACTAATGTGTACAGTTTGCTACCGTGAATTGCGCATCAAAATATATCCCGAGAAACTGCGGCTATTTAATTTAATTCCCAATAAAATAGAGGCAGTGCAGGGGAATCACAATCTCTAATTTCCGCGTATCCTACAAATAGCGGAAAAATATAAAAATATATCATGGAAAATAAATAATAGAAATACTCACTAATACTGTGTAAATACCACAAATCACGACCATTACAGCAGCGACCGCAAACACATTAAATCCAGTCACTGGAAAAATTAAAATAGCAAAGGCAAATAAAAATTTTGAAAATATAGCACTTTGTACACGTGTTATTGACATCTGTTACGATGATAGAAATATAAATAAATATAATAAAATAAACATAGGGAACAATGTAACATAAGTTCATAACAACGTACCCCCTAATAATTACGTTGATTTTTCTTCTAATATTTCGACTTCCTTTCTGTCCTTCGTCGAGGAGGTGTTGCAATTTCGTACCCTTGGTACTATAAAGCCATATGTGATCATACGTCAAAAGAGCTTTTATGAGATGAAAGTCATAAAAGTAATACGAACTACATGAAATAAATTGTGAATATATGAAATTTTATAATCTCCTATTACAGCTTCACTACATATCAACCTAATTTCATTCGCAGAATCGTGCAACTTTTCTGACAAGTTGTCATTTTGCAAATGTGGCCTTATCCTATTACACCACGGGTGCGATTTATCATTTCATATATGGAATTCATTGACAAATTCTAGTTTTATGTGGAAAATAGCATGAAAAAAAAGAGAAATGGCAGCTGCTTGCAACGGCTTAACTTTAAGAAATAAAACTAACTCACACTTCCAATGCTACACTCTTCTCAAATCACGAGCATTAGCATCTAACGTAAATAATGAAATAAATGAAGTAATAACGATAGAAATGCACAGAACAAAAATCGGATAAGCGACCCCTAGAGCAAAAAAATTACATTGCGTCCAGTAATCCTAATACCCTACACAACGATAACAAATGTAGGGATTCTTGTGGATTTACGCAGATTTATCTCGTTTGTTGATCTGAAATCATTCCGGGTATAACGACTATACTTTAATTTTTCTATGTCTAAGCCTCAAATTGACGTAGCGTTGCGATACTACGCAACGTGCAAAAATTTACTCTTGCTATTTTGCATTCAAAGAAATTTAACTTTATTTAGTAGAGTTATGGACCAATAATTCAAGACAACTGCTAATCTCCATACTTTTCGTAACTCTGAAAACGGTCAAAAACCTAATATGGACGATCGATAGCCTGGAAGTAGTTTATTATATTATGTAAATGGCCGTGGATATCAATTAATACCTCTTTAATACGAAACATAAATGGTTAGTTTTTTCCTTGTAATTTATTCAAATATTGATCATGAGTTAAAATTATTTTCTGAACTTTGACAAATATACTTAACAATAGATGGCATTGTGTTGCTAATTTAGAAATTAACTCTTGTTAATATGGGTAGATGGCGCTAATCCTAAAATAAAAGAATAGCCGGCAGTATCGTTAAACATCTATGCAATAAGAGCCATCTAGTTGATTTGTTCATTATCACTAGAAATTAGAGTAACTTTAATAAATAGGCGCTTTGTCGTCGAGTTGCGGATACCAGCCCGTTGCACAAAGTACCAAGTACTTTAATAAATTGCAGCTCATCAATGTAAAATAAATTAGTTACAGAAAATAGCTATTTGGTACTCGTCGCGACATCTGGTGTACCAATAGGAACTAAATACCTGACAACGCTTTCTTGCATCGCGATTAGCAACCCTCTTGATTTGTTGGTCCATATTAGAGTATATACACTATATCATATTGGATTTTATAAAACGGGCACGGGAGCGCCACTTGCTGCATTTTCTTTTGCATTTTATGTTTAAAGTAATGTTACCGTATCATATGGAAGATAAACTTCATGTTGAATTGCTCATTATAATGCAGCGCAGCGCTGCGTCACGTAACTCTCATTCGTATCTTTAGTCACTACCCAGCATTTCATAAGTGTAGCCATTACAGTAGATCTCCAATTTAAAAATCTTTTATACATACCTACTGTAAAACTGACTGGGTGTGAGGCAATATTAAAATAAAAATTTACAATTTATCTAGAGATTTTATGCTGCAACATGATATTACGTAGTAATTTCCAATATGACAAAAACTATTTAGACATTAAGCATTTTGCACATATTTCAATGAAAGTTATAATCAAATTTTATAAGCCACCTCGCCAGATGAACGATAAGATATTTCAAATATCTTAACGTCATTTATTTCATCAACATCGCATAGAATATAACGGCTGTCTCTTAATGAAAATTTAGGTACACAAATATAATAAACAACTATACTCACATTGATTAAACGCTAACGCAGGAACATACACGACCATGGGCAGAAACAGCACCTGAGGAAAGAAACATAAAACGTATTAAAACACCAAACAATCTACAACACTAATATTTACTATTTATTTCTTTCTACTGCAAAGCAATATTACTGCGTTCCGGACCTTTCAAGGGTGCCCCACGAACTGCAACATTATTATCTTGTATCGCAACTGTTTCTACGCTGTGTTTCTGTACCAAGTACCGTTTATCATGTCAATAGCGGTCATTCACCACTATAAACGTTATTTGTGAAAATAATACTCTCCAATGTTCCAAGAAAACAGCAACATAGGCGTTGCGTGTCGTCGCAACACTACAATTTCAACCTACCAAGCTGCTTGCGTTGTGTTCTGATTTTTATGTAGTACAACGCAGCGTCACAACACAAAGTCGCGGCGGCGTCGCAAAGCCGACACCATGGCATATTAATCAATCAAATCAAGCACAATGCTATCATTAGCGTATCGTGATGGAAGCCACCTTAACGTATAGATGATCTTAGGGGTTGTAACTTTAAATTAAATCGTTTTCTTAAATCGGTTAATACTAATGATATATATTAATTAACTATTTTGACTTTACTTTTCAAAGAAGACACTAACATAATAAAAAATGTAACAATATAAATACTAAGCAGAATCGTTGCTTTCAAACTCGATCTGAGTTGCTAAATCTAAGAGTGGTGTTATTGAAGGCAAATTAATGAAACAAATCTGCACCAAAATTATTAAAAAGAATTAAAAACAAATACCAAAACTGGACGTGAATTTTTCGACTGATACTCGACCGAATAAAAAAAGATTACTCGACTCTGGCGAGAGAAGTAGGTAAAAATAAACGGGGACAAGTTAAAAACTGATTTTATTTTAAAGGATTGCAGTTTTTTGTGACGGAAGTTAAATATACCATTGATACAATTTGTATTTTTAAGATTATGAAGTTAAAGAAACTGATTATAGTTATTATGCACTGAGTTTTAAATATTAATTTTAATGTGAAGTATTATATTAATGTAACGTAATTCATGATGTTTATATTCATTAAGCATGTAAATAATTAATGATGTAAATGATTAACTAATTATACTATAGGAAATGAATTTCTTTTTCAGTCGAAACCAACATTTTCGGCCCTTTACAAGTCGCTGTACAAATCTTCTTCTTCTTATCGTATCGATGGCATACTTGCCATCGTGGTGAAAGGATTTAAGGTACAGGGGTAACTATTAAGTAATCTATGCCCAGGGTACGCCAGTCGTACAGGAAAGGAATGATAAGTCGTGCGGGGAGGCCCGTGCACCCATTTTGAGTAGACATCAAAACAACAATATGTTTAGCAGCAACAGAGCTCCTTGTGAAAGAGTTCGCCCAAGGAAGTACTGCCACCTTACCTATTTCTGCCGCCAAACAGTAATGTGAGCATTACTGCGTTCCGGTTTGGAAGAGTAAGGGTGCTTGTAAAATTACAGGCACATGGCACTTCTTATCAGGGTAACGAGTGCAGTGGCAGTGCCCCTCAGATTTTTGCGATTTAAAGCTCTGAATGGCATTGCAACTGTTATGGAGAGGCTTGTAGCTTACCATCAGGCGCACTACTTCTTCGTCCCGTCACTTTTTTTTTAATCCTTGACGAATTTACTTTAATTGAAGATATTATGTTACTTAAAATGAATTAGTCCTTATAATTGAACCTTTCGAACGACATCATAAAAATACAGCATGTTTCATTTTTGGTCGGTTCGATTCCCAGATGAGGTAAGCAAGTCTTTTAATACAGTGTTCTTTACTTTTAAAAATAAAATGTGTCCATGAAACAATATATTCTATCTACAATATTTAAAGTAATTTTCCTTTGTGCCGCATAGCCTGGGACACCATGTATACGTGAGTATCACCATGTGCTAAACAAAAGACTAGAAAACCTCACTTTTTTGCATCGATCTTTATACTACTTGTACTCGAACATGTATGACTTGTTAAACTAACTGCAAATTGACTGTTAATGTACAACATTAAATAAATCATGTTTTTTACGCTTTTGATAATGAAAAAAAATCACATATTACACATTACCCATCTTTACACTTTTACATAACAATCACAAAACAATATTTTATCATAGCTTTACGCGACTGTTACAAACAGGAAATTAAACTATGTTTTCGGATCTAAGTCGCGTCTACTTATTTTTTTCAAACAAAGTAAAATTTCGGGTTCTTTACTGGTCCCATAGTCACAGATGACTCAGTCTCATTTTTTATATATATTCTATCGTCTATTTTCAGCCCTACCGAAAAAAATTTGTCAATTTATCTTCAACTTATTTCATGCGTTATTATTGTAAGAAGTAACTTAAATTCATAATTAAAGGGTTCGTACGTCGAATTGCGTCTACTAGCGGACAATTGACCGTTGTATTTTTTTGGACTCTAAAGTCTGAAGTCCAATTTGTGATAAATGGTGGTCATTTGAACAAACTCCAGTGACAAATAAATATCATGATCACGGTGGACATGACGTTTCATTTCAGACAAATTTCAAACAAACCAAAGTTTCGTAATTGACAGTCAACTGTGACCATTAGACCTGTAAAGCGCCAGATTTTCTTTGAAAAAACAAATATACTCGATTTAGATGCGCAAAAATAGTGTCATTTCTAATGTGTAACAACCGCGAAAACCCAAAAACTTAATATCTTGTTCACATTTCATTTTTGTGTTGATTAATTAGACCTGAATTTTCACCTGTAATGTGGTTTAGATATTATGTTACGCGAAAAGCGCATCGGTTTGAAAGTAAGTAAAGTCACTGGTACATATTACATTGTTACAGTAATATACAATTACATACATTTCAAGATAACAAGTTATCAAGAACAATAAGGGTTTCTTCAGGTTCAAACTTTCAATACCCATAAAATAGGATAGTAATATTTTTTCACTCATCACAAATCCGGTGCAAAACTTATAATAGGATGCACGAAAGGAGCCTCCCCGCACGATGTAACTTTCCTGTACATGTGTATGCACCTTACACCTTTCACACGATGACAAGCATTACACTGTATGCCATCGATACGATAAAAAGAAATGCCCTGAGCCTGTTACAAACCTTGTTACAGGCTCTGTTCTCTACCTAATTTTGTAACTATATAGTTTAGATTCGAAGTTATAAAAAATATCACGATGATAGCCGTCGATCTAAGAATATCTTACAGAGTTCTTAGGTTTTCGCGATTGTTACTGAAATTATTTTCCCGGATTTAAACAAAAAACATTAAATTGCGTACATTTGTTAACAAAAAACACTTGTTAACAAATGTACGCGATTTAAATACGGAAAAATAATATCATTTCCTAAATATCTTACCATTTCGAAAAATAAGCGAGTCATCACACTCGTCGACACTATCGGCTAAAGCCGAAAATACTTTATGTCTATGCAATACTTAAACTTTAATACTTAACTGCCTCCGTGGCCAAACGGAGGACTGCCATGCAGAGGTCCTGGGTTCGATTCCCAGGCCGGGAGAAATATGTGTATGGCCTACATTTATTTCTCTCGTGAGTTTGGGTGTAATTTGTGGTTGTCTATGTGTGTGTCCATGGCACCCGCGATACAGGGTTTCCCTAGTGCGGGGCTATGTTGAGTGTGTGCGTTATTATTATTATTATTATTATTAATACGAGCGAAAACGACGTAACGCGTTTCGCCTGTGTCGGGCCCAATCGCATCGATAACATCTTTTTTTACTCCATTAAAAGCTTTGTCTATATAATAGCATTTAGAACGACTCAAGCCGCTTCCATGTCGGCATGGACTCTCAAGTCAACTTCAAAAATTCAATAAGTAATTGAAGAAGATTGGTACCCTTTAGACTTTGTAGTGCAAAACAAGAGTTGAAATTTCGTTAGCAAGCAGTGTAAATATGGTATATGATAATATGTATGTAAATATAGTACGGAATTTCACTTGAACCTGTGTATACTTAATCACAATGCCCTTGAAAAATAATAATTTAATCATTTTACAAGATTCACACATTAAACATACTAGTACGTTTACAATTCACATGCGTGAAGATGTCTGGGACATAATCCAAAATTAAATAAAGATTTAATGTACATACAGTAATTACAATATTCTTAATCGTATTACAATGTCTGAGAATGCAATCTCTTGACTCGACACTGACTTGAATAATATTCATGATATTCAAGTGTCCAATTTCCATACACGATTTCAATATTTCAAAAGTTATTGATTTTAAACTAGATTTCATTTTCTTGATTATTATATACTATTTACTTACGGAACATAATGTACATAATTCTAAACGACAACGTTCTATTGAAACATCTCAAAACAAGAGAAACGGTCAGTTGATTATTTTATTAATGTAGTATTGTGAGAAAATTATGCAAATATTTATTATGTGAAAAGAGTACAATAGAACGCAACATATATTATGTATTCAATGAATAATAAAAATAAAATAAAAGTACAGACATACGAAATTCTCGATATAAACATCGATAATTGCTACTCTCTCAATATTATCAGATATATACGTAATGATATTTTATAATGTACACCATTTTTTACCTCGACTGAACCAAGAATATTTCACACACATGTGTACATTTTAAGCGAATGCCGTAACATTACACATGTCTCTTAATGTGTGGTATGTTTTATTTTTTATTGAATATCATGATGTTTTTTGGGAAAACACTCTACTAGTTTGTTATTACCATTGATACGAAGATCGAACAAACACAAATAAAAATTCCTATGACCCGATTGGACTCGAACCAGCGACTGATTCCGCAACGTAGCTACCGCTCAATGCTAGTTGCGGATCTTTGTATTGGGTTTAAGCGGTGTTTTTGTCGTAGTGCCACCTATGAGAACTTTGAAAGTTTCTTCACTCAGTCAATTCCTAATATCCGGTTTAAATTTTCGTTATGTCATATTTTAGTAGTTGTAGAGCTCCTTGTGAAAGAGTTCGTCCAGGGAAATATTGCCACCTTACCTATTTCTGCCGCCAAATAGTAACGTGAGCATTACTGTGTTCCACTTCGGAAGGATAAGGGTACTGGTGAAATTACAGGCACATGAGACTTGTCAACGTATGTATGTTGAGTGTGTGCGTGTGCGTCACAAGATGACGGGCACAGTGGCAGTGCCCATATGATCATTTGCGATTAAAAACTCTGACTGGCACTGCAACCATTATGGACAGGCGTGCCCCTTACCACCAGGCGCACGACTTGTTCGTCCCGTCACTATACTAAAAAAAAGGGGTATGTACATCTATCTGGTCTGTCTGTTCAGTGTGCCCAGAATGTAAATATGGAAAACCAGACTTAGTTACTATTGCATAAACCATTAAGATTAACACAATTACATAAATACTAACTCATCAGGATGTGCTTGGGCATGAAGTCTACACATACATCACTTTTTTTAAAATGAATGTTTGTCCAGAACAAGCAGAAATCTATTCAAATTTAATGGATTTTTCGCTTCTTTTTGCCGTGAAAACGGTGATAAATTTACCTGCTCCAAAAGTGTAACACACATTTTCGTCTATTTGTTTTAGGGTATGATTTGACATATATACTCACATACACATACATAATCTCAGCTGTAAAATGGTTTATCTCGTTGACAAATAGTCATAATAGCAAAATGGCAATGAAAAAATGTTAGATCTTTGTATTAAAATACTAGTGGTATAACCAACTAGTGGTATAGTAACCACGAGCGACACAGGCTCTTTGCGCCCTGAGGCGTCGAGAGTGTCCCATGTGCCTGTAATTTAACTAGCACCCTTACCCCGTAGAAATAGGTACGGTGGCAGTACTGCCCTGGTCGAACTCTTATACTATGTATTAGACGATCTCGTGACATCGTCAGCATAATCTTTGCTTAATTCGGTTGAGATTGTGATCAAAAACTTCTTATTTCCTTTTTTTTTATTATTTTCCGTTTTATTTTCTCTATTTGAAGTAGCTTGCCAACTGTACCTGAGTTGCTACGTAAGCAATCAATCTTACCCTGACAACCTAACTATTTTTATTATTTCCTTAATGGCGGCCACTAGTCCTTGGCCAGTGTTAGTTTCGATGAATGCAGTCAGTTAATATAGATCAAGAACGTCAACTTTAAGATAGCAGGAATGTATATAATTTTGAAAAAACCTTTGCGACGAACTGCTGTTAACACATGATATTTTTGACACTTATAGTCACGACGAATTCAATGAAACCTTACTCATAAACAACTATCGTAGAGTTAAAAAAAAACTAAGGGAAACACCAGTGCCCATAGAGATACATATAAAGTGTTTAAATTAGCAAAAGAAAATTCACCACGACTTGACTGTATGGTATTAAACCTTTACCCTTTTCCGTAATGGAAAGAATTTAAAAAATAACGTACACATTACATTACATGACGAAATACTTTCATAGATTTCTCATAGATGGCATCAAGGTTAAAAATTCGTTAAAAAACCAAATACAAAGATCTGGTGACAAACACATAGAAAAATTCGTGAGGTGTGCTGGTTCGTTCCGTGCTTAGTTGGCATAACGTCTGGCACGGTTTGCTAACCCATCCGGCCGGATTGAAGGTTTTTTCCTAGGCGTTCGATCTTTGTATTAATAATTGTAAGTAGTGGAGTCATTTCACAAAAATAATTGACTATCAATTTAATAAAAAATTAAACACACATTATTGATTCCTTAGCTTCGCCACACGCGAATAAAAACCAATGGTAGTAACCATTGTTTAATATAGTAATATTTCATTATTATTTTACAATTCTAGATAATGTTCCAGTTACATTCCGAGTCCATGCACAAATCCATAACACACATTGATGTTGATGTTCTCATAATGAAACGACACCGAGTACAAAGTCCAACTATTCACTAAACAAATGACCTGTCAACTAATAAGAATTGCTGATGTACTATTATCTATTCACAAAAACATTCCTATTTTCGTATAAGTATGTAGGTTATAAACTTATACGTTGTAACGGAACTTTTGAAGAATTCGTGGATTGTTTTTTTTTGTCTATGCAAGTATATATTATTATTTTTATGTAATTATTCTCGTCTTAATAATTTTAATCGTTTTTACTTTTAAGTAACAATTATATTGTAGATGGTACTAGATGACGAATAGCAGTGCTAGCACTGTAGGTAGGGTCTGAAAACAGCTTAAACCAAATCCTTTTTATCTGCATAATATGAATAATGTTATTTCAGCCTAAATAATTAGGCAATAAATTTATTTTAAATCAGTTTCCAAATTACAACCAAACAGGAAATTGTCAACAGCGAATTGTTGGTTTATTATTATAAGTAGTAGGTGTACTTATAATAATAAACCAACAATTTTTCTTTAAATATTATGTCATTAGAATTGGTCATGGTTGAGTTGAAGTTTGAGAACAACAAACAACGCAACAACACAATTAAAAAAGTGTTTTTTTTAACGATTTTGTTTGAGACAAGGTTTATAATGATATCTATCTATAAATTTAACTAAAAGAAGAAATAAGTTACGAAATACAGCGCAGAGAAATATTAAGTTTTTCTAAACAAATAAATAATATAAATATTAGACAACAACACATAGGTACGTTGCTCCGATCCCGAAATAAATAACTAAGGCAATTGTGTTGTGGAAATCGGAAACGACGACGGTACCACAAACACACCCGAGACAATATGCAAAAGTCAGTCTTTTCTACATTGACCCGGCTGGGGACCGAACCCGGGACGCCAGAGATAGCGATATCATGAAAACCGGTATGTAAACCTTTTGACCACGAAGATCATCATAAGTGAAAATATGTACACACATCGAAAGATGGCACACTAAATGAGCCTTTAGGTACGCGTGGCACAGCGTTGATTGTACATATATTTCAGTATACGTGTCCATGTAGCGCCATAAGTGGCAATAGCAAACCTAGATTTGACAATAGTTGTTTAAACTGGTTTTGAATAAATAGCTCGTCATTTGGTCGTTCATATTAATAATAATAATAACGCACACACTCAACATAGCCCCGCACTAGGGAAACCCTGTGTCGCGGGAGCCATGGATACACACATAGACAACCACAAATTACATCACGAGAAAAATAAATGTAGGCCATACAAATATTTCTCCCGGGCCGGGAATCGAACCTGGGACAGTTTATAAGTGATTATAAAGTTCGTAATAAGTTTTAGTGGCAGTAGAGCTCCTTGTGAAAGAGTTCGTCCAGGGAAGTACTGCAATCTTACCTATTTCTGCCGCCAAGCAGTAATGTTAGCACTACTGTGTTCCGGTTTTGAAGGGTGCTGGTGAAATTACCAGCACATGGGACTTAAACTTGTCTCAGGGTGACGACCGCAGTGGCAGTGCCCCTCAGTTCTTTGCAATTTAAAGCTCTTAGTGGCACTGCAACTGTTATGAATAGGCGTGTTTACCATCAGGACCACGACTTGTTCGTCCCGTCACTTAATATTTAAAAAAAAGATAATTTTCTCAAGATTGAAATTTAATACCTTGATATGTTTCTGTAAATTTAACTAATAGCTTAATGATTATGAAAGAAATATGAAATTTTGTATACATTCATAATGTCACGTGTACAAACCCTGAAATGCCATTTACACGCGATTCGAATGAATGAAACCAACAAAGAATCTTACATGAACGTCCTGCGCATTTTAATGTGGCATTTTAATAGAAACTTGTTTTAACAGCTATATGTGGATTGAAGTAATAACGAAATACTACAGCAAATATCTGTAGGTGACATGTAAAGAAGCCTAAGTACCAAATGGTAATTTTTATTATAGAGCGTTCTAAGAATAAGGTTTTTAATTAGGCATTCAAAATCAACCTTTTAAGGAACTAAATCTACAATTTCACGCTATCTATAGATAATTCATTACAAAAATAACAGAAACTGGTGTATAGGTAAAATAATATTTATAAAAACTTACCTCGTCCAATAAAAACAAGATGGACGCCACGGCTCGAACATGGCGGTTAAACCTTAGTTCTAAATACTGTAACAAAAATAAAAAACAGTGTTTAATGAAATGAAATGCAAAGATTCATTGATATATACTCATGTTTGTCGTACCCTCAATGAATTTACACATATTAAGAGTAACTTCGAACACTAAAAAAATCTGTGAGAGTGTATAACTTATCTACTCATTTTTCAATCGAATTATGAAATGAAAAAGCAAACTTCCACGTGAAAATAGAAATTGCAATAACTGTGCAGAATTTAAGAAATTCTCATTTAATTACCTAAATGATATGACATTCTACAATATTGAAGACTTCTTAAAAAAATTACACTTCATGTGTTCTATTTTTTTTTAATTAGACAAACCTTAGTAATAAGGGTTACCAAAGGGTTACCAAAGTTGAATAAGTCTTATTCCAATAATGACGGTGCTTTTTCACCGGCGGCGGTGAGGCGAGACGAATATTGAAGTATGGCAAAATTTCATTCTCTCCTAACGCATCTTCGGAGGAAATCCAGACCGGATTACGGAAACACGATTTCTCGGGCAGCAGCAAGTGCCCGCACGATCTCACGCAAACTCGCGATAGATACTAAATATCAATCGCGAGGTTGTCAGGTACGCACGATTAGAGATTTAAAAAAAATCGCTTCAGCTGTTTCTTCTCCGTTGACATGTTTCATAATAATAATTTACGAGACTGCGTGTTTAACACTAAACGAACTGAACAGCACTAAATCTTCACTCCACAACTACGGCGCAATGTTATTAATATCAATCGCGAAATGGTGAACTTACAGGCACATGGGTCTTGTCAACTTATATATCAGGCTGGCGCAGTGGTAGTGCCCCTCAGATCTTTGCAATTTAAAGCTCTGTGTGGCACTGTAACTGTTACAAATAGGCGTGTAACTTATCATAGCCATCAGATGCAAAAAACGAAAGTTCGCGATAGTCATTAATGGCAATTTTTGGTGGAAATAAGCCGGCGAGATTTCAATTCTCGTCTCAGAAATCAGAAACATTTATTGTATGAATTGGTAAAATACAGGTGTTACTTACAAGTGATTAGATCTACAATTCTTACCCAAATCAGGCGTACAATGTCTTAAAATTACAATTCAATTAAAATTTATTACAACTTAAATGTCAAAAATTAAAATTATAATTAAGTTAGTTATACAATTGTCAAATACTTGATGTCTTTATATAAAATTCGTTAAGATTGTAAAAAACTTTGTCAATTAATCATTTTTTTAAACAAGCTTTAAATTTATCACCATTTAAATATTTCATTTCCATTGGAAGTCTGTTATAAATTCTAATCGCTGTTACATAGGTGCTGCGGTCTTACTTTAGGGAGGACAAGACGGTCCTTGTTTCTGAAGTTAACGGAGTGTACATTAGATATTTTAGTAAAGAAGTTACTGTGATTACGTACAAAAAGATATATTTCCAAAATATATATTCCTATTAAAGTCAGGAAACCCTTTTCTTTGTACAGACTTCTTAGAGAATAGTCACTGGGTTTACTATAGATTATGTGTAAGCATCGTTTTTGTATTGTGAATATTTTAACCGCATTGACAGAGTTTCCTCAAAAACTTACACCATACATTAATAATGGGTATACGTTCCCGTAATATACGTTTTTTGCAACTTCAACCGACGCTACATCGACCAATACAGATAAAGCGTAGCAATAACTACCAAGCTTGTTATTCAGCACATCTATGTGATGTTTCCAATTTAAATTTTTATCTATAGTAATACCAAGAAATTTAGTAGTGTTTACCTCATCAATAACGTCATTTTCATAAGTTATGTGTAAATCTAATCTCGCCACATCTCGTCTCGCTTCGCCGGTACGTTAATTACTCGCATTTTAGTCTTTGACTTTGATGAAATCCTCCCTAAATCCATTATTATTATTATATATTTTATTATTATAATTATGTCTTATTAATACTAGGCTGCGATTAATTGGACTGCTAAATTATAGTATATTTACAAATTATTGCATAACAATTATATACTTATTCTATTCATAAGTTCTATTGTATTCTATTCATAAAAACTTTGTATGCCGCAAGGTGGATCACAGTAATTCAAAATTCATTCTTGTAACGCCTTTATAACCCGTACAGCACAAAACAATGAATGAATTGATTCGTTATTTTGTATGTAAAGCCTGATATCGTGCGAATTAAGCACATCAAGTGATATTTCCAAAGGAACAAACTTTTTTTTTATTACCTATTGTTGATTTATTGACACGTATAGGTAATTAGTGACGTAGACGTGAAGTGTTATGTAGGTAAATATAACGTACTTATAATTAAATGACCCTAAACAATTTTTCCACTTCAATAACAAATCATTAGTAGATTTTAGTCAATTAGTCACTAATTAATATACTCCAGTAGAAATTCAGCAGAGGTGTTTTTTTTAACAATGAATAATATTTCGCGTAATGATGTAGAATCCTTGAAAGATCACCTATTAAGATCGTTTTGACTCTTGCTATGTCACCGCTATGACATCCTACAGAGATAAAGCCTCGAAAAAATTATATGATTTGGCATAATTGTTACTAATGACAACCAAGTTGATAATGGACGTTACCACGTCATATCTAGACACTGTTATACAGTTAAACGTCAAACCTGTGTGAATGATATGGAGTATACAATTAATTTATGATACATGCCTGTTTTTGGGACTAAGCTCAAGAAGGGTTTTGCAATAATTTTGTGTCACATGTGCAATGTTCATTATGCAAGTCCTACATTATAAAAGAGAGTCTTATTAAACAGTGCAATGTTGTTTCATATTACTTGGTACTTGGTGCAACGGGCTGGTATTATTAAAATATAAATATTATTAAAATCATTTTCGGTTCTGCACGGCAGATCGATAATGCGTATCCAAAGCTTGGTAAAAGAAAAAATCTGTTACAATGTGCGAAAAATTAATATAATTCGATTGCAGTTACCGCAATCAGAAAGGCTACTCAAGTACAATATAAATAAGACAAACTCAGCCGTAATCGTGGAACTTGTAAAATATCCAAATCTATACGCGATGTAGAACCATAAAAATAATTTCATTCCCATTGTGTAACTATCGCGAAAACCTAAGATACGCGATAGGATAAACTCAATATTCCTCGGTTTATTACCAACGTAAAAATATCTTCGTCGGTATAGAACAGCGACATGTTGATTACAGCACATATACTCTGGGTCTCGCATGTGCCATACAAGCATCATGAATGTTCTCATATTGATACATACAACATTACATAGGTAAATGCATCTTGCCTGCATCACGCCCGAGCATCTCTGATATAAAGTGCGTCACAGGCTTACGAGAATGTATGAGCAACATTGACCTATTGGTAGGTCAATAATGAGCAAGGACTATTTAAAGTAGGATTGACAGACATACTTATACATTTCAGGCAAACAATAAGTTTGGTAAACACGAGCGCGCTCTATGTATGTCTTGGATATATGAAATTTGATTATTTCTGCATACTAACTAATCAATCTATATGATATTTTGTACACATAATATGGAAAGTAACACCTAGAGTCATAGTGTTTCAGTTTTAAATTATATTAATTTTAAAAGTTAAAGGATTTTTAACCGGCTTTGAAAAAAGGAGAAGGTTCTCAATTCGACTGTATGGTTTTTTTTGTATGTATGTTACGCGGTAACTTGTGAACCGATTTTGATGATTTTTTTGTTGGAAAGAGTGTACCTCAGTAGTGGTACCATTTAAATATTGAAGAAAAAATTCCACCTCTCAGGGTGGCAAACTAGGTGATTAATGACTTTTGTGGTAGGTTTTTTAGTACTCTGTACTGAAATTATTTTATGATACCATGTGATGAGTCGAATTAGTCGTGCGCCTGGTGGTATGCGACACGTCCGTAATAGTTGCAGTGCTGCTCAGAGCTTAAGATTTGAGAGGAAGTGCCACTCCACCCGTCACCCAGAGACATAAGTTGAAAAGTTCTATGTGCCTGCAATTTATAAGTGCAAAAGCAAAAAAAATTCACCAGTATCCTTAACCATCAAAACCGAAATGCGGTAACGCTCACATTACTGCTTGGCGGCAGAATTATGTAAGATGGCAGTGCGCACTATTTCACTTGGAACTCTACTGCTATTAAGCTGGTCACACACAGACGATAAAATGTTTCTATTAATTGATTAATGTCATACGGCAATTTGCTTTGGGGTAATGCCGCCCATATCAATAGAATCTTTGTCCTGCAGAAACGTGCGGTCAGGGCAATTTACAATCTGGGCCCCAGAATATCTTTGAGAGATAAATTTAAGGAAATTAATATTCTTACACTAGCGTCACAGTACATTTATGAAAATGTAATTTATGTTAAGAGGAATAATAATCTCTTTATGAAAAATAGTGACAGACATAACATTAATACGGGGAATATAAAAATAAACTAGCTGTTTTAGATAGTCGTCTTCACAAAGTGACAAATTCCTTTAAGGGACAATGTATACGCTTCTATAACAAGATTCCGGTTGATATACAAAATATGCCATTCACGAGGTTTAAAACTACAGTGAAACACAAACTTTATACTAAAGGTTATTTATACAACTTCTGCGTACTTGGATGACAAAAATCCGTGGTAGTAACCCGTTTAGCTCGTGGAGGTAGTATCGATCTCTGGTGTTTGAAAGCAAAACAAAAAATATATTGTAAATATTGAATGTTACAAATGTTATTTACAAAGAGCAACCCCTAGAGTTTCTTGCTCATTCTTCTCAGGGGAATCTGCCTTACGAATGAGCAGAGTTTAACCAATGTGACGATTTCAAGTGTAATAATGCTTACCGATGAAATAAAAATTATTTTGATTTTGATTTCATTTCATTTTGATTCTGATTTTGATTTTGATTTTCAATTCAATGGAAACCCCAAAAAATAATGTTACTTTATATTAAAAAAAATAATAACCTCCATACCTACATACTACTCAAGCGACCAACAAACTAAGAAGTAGGAAAATTACACATGTAAATTTTTCCACGCAAGCACTAACTCGATTACGCAACCGTATTCGCTTCACATTCATCACTTAGACAGAAACAAAACTATTTGATGAAAAGACTGACAATCTCCAAGTCATGATCAACGCATACGTCCCACTGCCGGGTACGGGTCTCCTCTCAGGCAAAGGTTTGGGCCATAGTCATGCTATCCCAATGCGGGAACTTCACACGTTTTCTGAAGGTTGTGAACCTTCTTCGATGTGCAGGTTTCATCACGATGTTTTCCTTCGTTTATTAGAGCTCCTTGTGAAAGAGTTCGTCCAGGGAAGCACTGCCACCTTACCTATTTCTGCCGCCAAGCAGTAATGGCAGCATTACTGTATTCTGGTTTTGAAGAGTAAGGATGCTGGTGAAATTATAGGTACATGAGACTTGTCAACTTATGTCTCAGAGTGACGGGCGCAGTGGCAGAGCCCCTCAAATTTTCGCGATTTAAAGTTCTGAGTATCAATGCAACTGTTATGGACAGGCGTGTAGCTTACCATAAGGCGCACGACTTGTACGTCCTGTCACTTGGCGTTATAAAAAAACATATAAGTTTAGTTTACATATACCACTACGTAAAACAATACGGGACATTAATTTTAAGGTTTACAAACTAGTTCTCTGAATTACGTAAGTAGAAAAAAGATTTTCGTGTAACAATCTTAACGCAGAATGCGGCTGCTCAACTTCATTAATTTATCTTACAGTCAACTTCTACTATACTTAAAGAAAGATTATGGAAAATATTTACACAAACAACGTTCTATCTATGTTATCTAAAAACTATTATAATTGTATAAAACTTACTCAAATCTACATATGACGTCAGACCTAAATTATCTTTAAAACACTCATCTAATAATATAAAATCTACGAGATATAGTGACTATGTACCAACATTCTGAAACAACAAACTTTTCATTCTAAGTGTCGGTTTACTGTTAATATTTTGTAATAAATAAATTAAAATTCTAGAAAATTAGAACCTCCTCCTTTTTAAATTCTAGTTTCAAAGTCTAGCACACCTGTATTCACATTTTGACAATGACATTTCTTTGTTTACATTTTGGACATTTATTTATGATTCACTCTATAATACCGCACATATTACGCTCATATTGTAATTCATTAACATTTAATAACATATTTCAATCAATATGTATAATATGTTGATTATGCGGAAAACTACATGAAGTAAGGTACTGAAAAGGTCGCATATCAGTCACTAAACATTCCTGCGCTTCCGGGCCCACGTCGTCATCACAAGTCTATTCTACACATTCACACTCAAATTGCGTTTGTCTTTATAATGACTATCATTTTATTGTAACATACTATCTACTAATTATATATACATATACTATCAGTATACAACACGAAGACTCTCTTTATTAACAGAAGACTCTTGTTATCACAGCTGTGACAGTTCATGATGTACTTTTTATAAAGAATATTCTGTTCAGTTCGCAATAACATCGAGTACAATAGGACTTAGCAACGATATACAATATATTGCGCGAGTGCTCTGACATTTGTGAACCAATTTCGATGATTATTTATTTGTTGGATAGGGGGTGCCCCAAAAGTCATCTAATTTAAATTTGAAGACAATTTTCCACCTTACAGGTGGCAAATTATGCGATGAATCCGGTAATTCCTATGAAAATAAAATGTTATGGTGACTTAGACCTGACCTGATGATAGAAATGGTAGACAGATGAAAAGAACTCCTCAACAATATCAAGCAACTACCTTGTATTTGAAGTTTTGTTTAGACCAGGGGCCTTACCATGAACTTTACCAAAACTAATCAATAACGAAGCAGTTAAATTTAGGATCCTAAATTAAATCGTTAAAATTCGTACCATGAGCTATTTAAAACTGATTCGCTTTCAAACCGCTAACTCGCGAATGAATGACCGAATTTGTCTCTGGTCCGCTACCATTTCGCATTGTGAAGTTTTTAAACGTTGTGTTCTTTCTTTTGATACGGGTATTTTTAGCCAAAAACATATTATTTGAGGATAGTTTTTTACAGTACTTCTGTAAAACATAAAAAAACTTATAAATGTCATTACTAAGTGACAAATAAAGAAAAGGACTTCCTTTTTTTTTTCATTTCAGTTATCGTTGAGAAGACCGCATTAACGAATACAGCGAGGTAAGAGGTTAGTTTTCCTTTAATAAAAAGTTATAATTGTAACTAAAAGTCTATTGAATGTCAGCATGATTCACTACCATGATATTCAATCATTTTTTTGTGAAATTACTCCACTCCACTTAGAAAAAAATCCTTCGATCCGGATTCGAACCGACGTCTTCTAGCAAACCGTGTTAGACGCTATGCCAACTAAACCACGCAACGAACCAGCGGACCCTATGAATTTTTCTATGTGAAGAAATATATTTCTCACAGATGGCGCTACGGCAACAAATCGTTAAAAACTATAACAAAGATCAGCAACAAGCACAGAATAATTCGTAAGATCTGCTGGTCCGTTCCGTTATATCCGTACCAAAGTTACAATTAATTGTAATGATCCAAACCGAAACTGTTACTTACTTCATAAGAAGACGAGAGTCCTAGAAGGCAGAACACTGGCATGTAAATGACACTGACGATGACGCAACTTATAAAGATGGCCACAACGATCAGCCAATACTGCAACCCGTAGTTGTAAATCTCCGCCGGCGTGCCGAGGATCGTCACTCCTGAGACATAGCTGTTTGGAAGTATATGTATCAGTAATAATGACCAGTAATTAAATGTATGTTAAATATTGGATAAATAGCATAAAATTAGACGACTTGTACCACGAAAGATTGTGGTCAAAGTGGTGGCGTCAGTGACCGACATGCACGGCGTTCGACTTTTTTTTTGTAATTCATTTCTAATTAGATTTAGGACAAAGAGTTTCTATAACAGTCACACGTTTCTTATTTTAAGTGCCAAATTGGCACTGCCAATTACTGGGTGTTTATTATTGGTGAGTGGTGAGTGTGTTCATTACTGGAAATTTTAGAGAAATTATAATTTAGGTTTCTTTTTAGTAATCATTATAATAGCTTTTTTAAGAGAAATACAATAGCATAACCTTTTTTGAGGATTATATCTGTCAAATGAACTAACCACTATTGATGTAATATGTTTGAAAACAAAAAGTTATTTCAAATTTAAGAACACATTTCAAATGTCCATCATTTTAGTGCCATCACCATACCAATTTGTAGTGAAAATTTAGTTACGCATTTCTTTGGAAAAAATGGAATCTTTAAGTAAGCCCAGTCCTTTTTGAGCAAAGAGTTTATTACTTTTAATAAATTTTTTTCTCATAAAACGAAGGACGGTCCTTACTTAGGTCTACAATACGTATGTTTGCCTTATGTTTGGCAGGAGACAGTGAAACTGTACTCATGTTGTTACATGTTACCTTCCTAAAGCCTATGTTTTCACAACTAAATGAATTTTATGAATTATGATACAATTCAATGTCCAAAGTGTCAAAATTGATGGTCTCTAGATTTACAACAAACGCGCCTTAGCAACGCAACCATTACCATCATCGTCAGCCGACTGCAGTCCACTGTTAAACATAGGCTTAGCATAGGGGGATAGGCTCCTTAGCTTGTCGCATCCATTGCCTGCCACCCAACCAACACGGAATGCTTTTGTAAAAAGGTAATAAAATGTTATAGATTGAAGTACAAATGAGATTTGTTTTTTTTTTTGTTATTTTATGAAAACATATAATATAACATACAATTATAGTTATAATAAATATGAGTAATCGAATACCATTTACGAATTTCCACCTTTAGCGAACTACATAAAGTGAATAACAAAGTCAAAGAGAAATTTATGAAAAAGAAACTCAATTACACAAAAACTAATGAGTAATTAAGCAAATAATGAGAACAAAAATAATAGGCAAATATATCAATGCAAATATACCAAAGTTAGGGTATCGTCACCAGTCATGTGATGTGTCAAGTGACGTTTTTATACGCAGTAAAATACTCTAAAGACCAGTGTTAAGTGTTTAGTTTACATGTCCAGCTTTTGTGATTAGGCGAAGCATGCGTGAAACCATCGACTATTTATCCAGAAATAGAGGCAAAATAAATCCCTGGAATGCATCAGGCAAATGCTTTCCGTACATTACATCAATTTTATCAACTCTCGTTTGCGTTGAAATTACAAATTAGAAAGCTGAAATAGTACAGCGCCAACAACTGATTTGTGAGTGTACGTCTCCGTATATTTTAAAAATATTCTGTATTTATTGTAATAAAGACAATAACTCTAACAATGGGGAGCTGTTCCATACGGTGGTGTGGGAAAAACAGCAAAACATCTAATTACAAAACAAACAGAATCACATTTCATCGGTAATTAAATATTAAATATGTAATATTTCAATTTTCGTCCATTATAGCTAAGTTAACCAGTCGATTTGAAGTGAAACAATTGATGATATACCCCCGTCAATAGTTTCGAATTCGGACTGGCCAATCGGAGCGCAGTTGTCACCGTAATGATTTTGGCAGCATAGTTTTCAAACAAATTAAATGACATTTCGTCTTTATTTCTGGTTATATACTCGATGCGTGTAACAGATACCTGAATTATGACAAGAATTCAGTATTGCCGATTACCCATACATATTTAAATCGCAGAATATTTGTACACATCTTGAGGGTGCCACAGTCGATTTCGGTCACGAATTTATTGTACAATCCGAAACTTAGCATGGAGGTTCTTTTTAATAGACTTCAAAAAAGGAAGAGGTTCTCAATTCGGCTGTATTTTTTGTGCGTATGTTACACGATTACTCCGACATTTGTACCGATTGGAAAAGGGGTACCATTCAAATTGGAAGAAAGTATTCCACCTCTAAGGGTGGTAAATTAGGGGATGAATCCGATATATTGGATTTCACCCACTTTCCGTTAACCGGTTTCAATAAAACTTGACAAATAGATCTAACAAAATCAGAGAAAACGGAAAGGCTTATAAAGGGATAAGGCGGAACTTTAGAGATCGATTGTTTTAATAAAAAAAAAACTATTAAATTTAGGTAAACTGAACAACTGAACAGTCGCAAGTGACAAATATCGTCGACTGTTTAGCTGTAAATAAACTAGTAACACAACAGTGCAATACTTACTTTTATAAACCTTTGAATGCAGACGGAGACGCAGAAAAAGTTAGTTAACATTAATACTTCAAAAGCACAAATAACACATGTTTTGATATGTTCTCACCTGGCTATAAGAGACAACGAGACGGGGAAAGTGGACATATGACGACCTCCCAGTAAGTAGTCTCGTATATCCACCACGGCTTTGGTACGTGACCCGATTGCACTGTACCATATACCACCGGCACACGACGCAATGCAGAGTATACCAAATGCAACGTAGTCCGAGACCGTAAAACCGCCCTCTCGCATTGTGAACCCCATTTTGGATGGTCAGTTCCTGAAAGAAACAATATTTTGAATGATTTGATAGTCAAAATTACTGTAAGTTTCCAAAATAAAATTTTTATTTTTGTTTATGACACCAAAAGACGCAACGAACAAATCGTACGTCTGATGGTAAGCGACACGCCCGCCCATTACTACTGGGCCGTTCAAAGCTTTAAATCACAAGGATCTGAGATGCTCTGCCACTGTGCCCGACACCCTGAGTCACAAGGTGACAAGTCTCATGTGCCTGTAATTTCACCAGCACATTACCCTTCAAAACCCGAACGAATTAATGTTCACATTAACGGTTGGCGGCAGAAATAGGCAGGGTAGCAGTACTTCCCTGAACCTTTCACAAAGAACTCTTCTGCTACCAAAATTAACTACGTTATATTATGCTAGCTTCTCATTTACAATTAATACATATAGTTGTAGCGATAATAAAATCCCTTTTCTATTTTTATTATTATATGATGAAACAAGCATATAAAAATAAAGAAAGAATAATACGAGAATATTTCATTCATTCGTACATATTTTTACAAGTTAATTATAAAGATTAATAAACCTTTTTAACAAGAGAATTAGATAAAGATTTCACTTATATATTTATTTTACATTATAGATTTTAAATTATATGTTTTAATATTTACGTATATATAAATATTAGGTATATATTTTTCTTTGTAAAGTGTTTTATTTTGATATTTTAAATTTAAGATATATTTTGCTGATTAATTGTCGGTGGCGTCCACTCCTTTCCTCGGCCACCACAGAATATCAGCGTTGGGTTATTTCGCATGCACAACCTGACAAATGCTGAGTGTTGACAATTTGAGATCTCAATGTCTAGTAGTAAGATTTACTTTGTATTACAAGCAGAGACCAAATAAATATCATTTTCTTTCTTATTTGTATTCACGCATACTACTTCAGCAAAATTATTTTACTACCTCAGTTAATAAGACCTATACATACAACGACCTTATTACTATATATAGAGTGCCTACATAAGAAACATACTTAATTATAATGTAGATATTACACTAAACTCGTAATCATAACTTTCCCGTTCAAAATTAAGAAGTGATTAAGAAAATAAACATCAGTGGTGCGTTCGCAATATTTAACCTTGTAGAGGTTAACATGTTTTATGAGACATTGAACTCTAACATACTTTACAAATTTTTAAATCACTATTTTCATGGGGCAATAACAATAACAGTGCTCGGTAAATACGACTCAATCGATCAAAGCAAAACAAATGTAATGTATATAATGTAAAAAATGGTAATAGTAAATGTAATACCGAATTTCATCAGATTACGGGCCGGTTCACAGGACAAACGTTAGACGCCATTGAACAGACGTTTTGTTAACGCACATTTACAACTGCGGCGAGTAAATTTTTACATACATGAATATATCATCACGCCTGTCTCCCACCGAGGTAGGAAGACACTATGGACCTCCCTTCTTTCTACTGACTGACTGAATGACCAAACCATCGAAGCATCTCCCTCTGTATTCTGATCATCTAAATATTTTATTGAATTGATATTCAATATTTTTTAAGTGAAATTACTCCACTAAGTAGTTTGTATTAATTAATTAATTATAACAAACTATATCATCTTTCATAACACAACGTTCTTTTACTACACTCTTTAATACATATACATTTTTTTATTCGTAAGTAGTCCCATGTGTTCATATGCTAACACGCGTTCAACACACCTATTTTTTTTTGTAAATTGATGAATTGACTTTAAAAGTGTACGGTCTACGTGCCTAAGTCTTTCGTGATTAATATCGACGCAGGTAATATCTATTAACTCATGAATCAACAACAATTTCAAAATCTATGTTAAAGTATTGTTTACTAAGACAATGGTATTGTTTGCCTTCGTAGTTGTTATTGGACGGTCAATATCTGACGTCATTCGATGCTCTTCAAAGATAGGGAATAGGGTAAATTGTTTCAATTTTGCTTTGAGCGTCGTTGAATATCTATTATAAAGCCAAGAAATTTCTTGCGTGACGGTTCTTAGTCTACATTTCAATGAAAATATTAATTAATTAATTTAGTAATAATAGCACCAGAAGGCCTGTTATTAATGATAGAAAAAATAGAACTCAGAACTATATAGCAAACAAGCGTAATAAAACCAATAATTACAGTTTTGTTGAATTATTTCTGCGCACAAGTAAATTATACCTTAATCCTATTTGACATCTAATAGTCAGGGGGCCTACTATGAGCTCTTAGAGCAATCGTATTTAAGCCTGTAAGTTGGATTGCCTGTCAAAATCGTACTATGACCTCACAAAAACAATTCACTGTCTATGCAGTTTACGTTCCCCATTCGAAAGCCATTCACCTTTTCTTTCATAGCAAAATCGTATTAGGCTATTTGCCATGCAAGTGGCGGCCTCATCTGTGAAAATAAGCAATTCAAAAAAGTTACTCCGTGACTAACTTTTTTTCTGAATTTCGTTTAAGTTTTATTATATTTTCAGTTTTATTAACTATTGAGCCTTTTTGAAAATTTTAGTTCGTGTTCCCAATCTTAAAATTATTGTTGATAAACTATTGCCATGAATCTTATTGCAATGTAAAAATGGAATTTTAATCATTTTAGTCATTTTGTTGACCGAAAATCGTAAAAAAAATTTTAAATAGTGCTATATTTTACTTTAATGCAATCAATGAAAATGTACAAGATACGTTCCAATTATGTTATCAAATTACAAACTTACCTTATTAATTTTCAATGATAATGACTAGGCATGACATGTAATTTTGTCGGACGACAAATTGTAAAGTATGATTGAAAATTTGCCGATGTTACAAAACGTAGTAACTATAATCAATAACAAAATTAATTAAAAAATGTAATATGTAATTATTCTCATTTTCAACACAATCGGTTAATAGTGCTTAAACGCTCTCATGATAGTACATCTATCTATTTCTTTCATATGATTTAGAATGTAGTTCCATCTAGTTCTTGTTAGATGTCAGCTAGCCAGCCAGACAATAATTAACATTTTTAACAATTAAAAAGTAAAACTCATCATCCTGTTATGCCATTCCCGTTCAACTTGTGTAGGTCATCATACGAATTTAAGCAGTTAAGTTTTGCCACGTCAAGTGAATTGCAAGGAACTTGGCTGAAAGCTCATAGTAGGCCCCCAGGCCTTACTCTAAGTATCAACAGTTCATGTTTTAGTTTAAGTATAACTACTTACTATAAACGATAAAAGTAGACTTTGCACTATATATGTACCTATTCTATTGCGATATATAATAACGCACACACACACACACACACTCAACATAGCCCCGCACTAGGGAAACCCTGTATCGCGGGTGCCATGGACACACACATAGACAACCACAAATTACACCCAAACTCACGAGAGAAATAAATGTAGGCCATACAAATATTTCTCCCGGCTTAGGAATCGAACCCAGGACCTCCGCATGGCAGTCTGGCATGGTAACAGTTCGGCCACGGAGGCAGTTAAATATAGTGGTTCGGATATGTAGAGAGAATAAATAAAAATTAACCAAACAACTTTATAAGGGAAGTATGAACGTGCAAATTGGTAAGTCGAATTTACCACGACCAAAATAAGGAAAGGCCGGTGCAAACGCATATCAAAGCATCGATAAGTGTTAATGAAGCGAAAGGTATATGTCAGGATCGTGGCAAAGGGAAGGTTGTTGTCTCTTCGTATCTCTATAGAAAAAGGACGTGTAGTATATTACGTACGTATGTATTATAGCCGTAATCGTGTTCTTAGAAGAAATTGTGCCCAGCAGTGGAACACATGAGTTAATACTGTTGATTTAACTGGTTAAATTTGCACGATACCTATGTATATGTATGAGTAGGCGAATACCGTAAGAAAGAACACGTCAATTAAGCTTTTAGAAATAAAATTAGTATCTAAAATCGCGTTTATTTGTCGTTTCAAACAACCTAACGTTTCGGACTCTACAGAATTTTAGGGCGCCCTCAAATTAAACGCTTATAGAAGCAACAGTAGGTAGCGCGACTGTGCACTAATTGTGACTACAAAAGTGGAGCGCGCATGTCAAGGCGGTGGCGCTGCAACTGAGCTTCTAAATATATAAAAATAACCCCCTTTACACAGTCACTCTATCGTGCGTGATCAGAAGCGTACAGAATTGTGCGCGGTAAAGCCTGCACGCGCAATTGTGCGCAATTACTTATATGAATTTGTTTAAGCTAACGTTCTTTCGCGCACAATTGCTCGTGTTCGTTTTAGTTACAACGGGAAGAGCGTCCGTGTAAAAGCTAACAGCTCTGGATAGAACGCGTGAAACTGGCGCGTGTAGGAGTGCGCGAATGCTGAGCGCAATCGCGTGGTCTTTCCCTTTTTCTTCCAACGTCTTTTTTATTGCTGTATCACGCGCGATAGAGTGTCTGTGTAAAGCCTGCTAATTAGTAGTCTGCGCCATACATCAGCGCTTCTATGTCTAAGTGCCGAAATTGAAAGCGGCCCTAACATTCATTAAAATAGTTTCATTTCCAACGTGTGCAGCGAAAACCTAACAATTCAATTAGTAGCAGAAGTATTAACTCATATTTTACATTAAAATTAAAGTCACAGGCAGTAATATGTTATGAAATTCGTTTTTACTCGCTAACCAAGACGGCATTCATTGTCATTGTATTGATTAGTTGTTTATTATCATCAAGTACAAGAACGATATTCACATTTCATCTCCTTAATGTATTTTTTTTTATGCTACGAAGTTCACAGGAAATATGGATACAAAACGGTAGAGTAAGAAGCATAACTACTATTTACGTAGCATTATCTATTTTTTTCATTCATACATTTTTTTTATGTTACTATGTTCTTTGTTTTCTTCCTATAATCTCTTTTTAAGTATACTATAATTGAATTACTTGTTTGTACTATTGTGTGTTTGTTGTATGAATTTTCCTTAAATGTATAAATAAATAAACTATTAGGACATTATTTCCCATAATCTATGTACCTTAAAGTTTTCAGTTTCTAAATACATTAGTACATACATATATATATATATATGAATAATTTAAAACGAATGTTTAATGTTATATAAAAAGAATGTTTAAAATTAAACCAAAGATTTTTTATTATTGTTGTCACATTGTCGAAATTGAACCATCGACATTTTATGGTTTATCGAACACGATATTTACTACCTTCATTGAGAAATATTTTTCTGTACAATGTTCTGGTGCGTTGCAATGGGTGCATTTATGGTGAATTATGAAATAGGAACATTAAGAATAGAGAATCACGTCTTGTATAAAAAGCAGAATATGAGTGCTTTACCCAGTATTGCGCGGCGTGGTCGAAAATCGTAGTATATGTTGCCAATGTATAATAATATTTTTTTTACTCAAGTAGGTAATCTAAATCTGGAACCACAAAAGGAAAATTCCTACGTTGACGTTATAGTATATTTATTATTTTTTTAAATACAGATTTCTAATTTTGGTGGCGCGTCCATAACCTGTGTCTCGCATTTGTTATCATAATTTTAAAAAATCTAGCAATATTTAAAAAAATACTGACCCACTTGCCTTCTTAATAAATATCTGTTAATTCTTAATAAACTAGCTGTAATTAAATTAATATTAATTTAACAGTCTAATGTATAGTACCCAGAACATGCGTCCGCGCAAAAATCCGAATTTTGGTGAATAATTTTAACGCTGATGAGCGTTGAACTAGTTTCCGATTTTCAGCTCCTGTCCCTTTCAGTGCAGGATAACGCACAATGCAGGCAGGCGGAGATCGTGTCAATTAACTTACCAATAAGGTATGTACTAATATTTGGTGGCATGGGGGCCGGCTAAAACTGTGAAAATATAAATCTCTGTGCATTTTCAATGTTGAATTTGGTTACTTTTAATGTATTATATATAGTTGATAATGGCCCTATTTTAAAAGGTATGTTTTCTATAATAACTTTTCGTATGTTTTCTAATTCCGGTGACGCAATTTTGGTGGTGTTGGTGGTATTGGTGGCTTATTTGTGACCAACATTTACTTTGTTACCATAACTTTGTTACCACCAAAATTAGAAAATAAGTATCTAATTATCTTTATTGACATAATTGTATCTAATCTGACACTAATATCTATATTCATTTGTAAATTAAATTACAAATAATACTTCAATTTAAAAAAAACGTCGATTTAAAACAGTGCACTTCGTGAAGTAACAATTCAATGATACTAATTTAATGAGCCTAAATGCGATAGTTCTACTGTAAGTAGTTGAGGAATTGGGTAGTCTGCAGACTGTCCTTGTTGCAGTATCAGATCAAGGTTACCATATTATTGTAGTATAGTAATGGCGTGACATTGATTTAGATCTCGATAATTCTACTCCATTTAATATTTTTAAATGTCAATAGCAAATATGCCACTTTTGGAAAATTTGACAAATCTAAATATTCTAATATAATATAATGACAAATATAATTTATAATGACAAATTTAATATAACTGAGGAAACCGAAATACAGGAAAGAGGAGATAGTTATGAAACAGAATCCTCTGAATATTTTAATTTAATTTAGCAATTTGTGTCTTTTCGATTTTGACTGCATATTTCTAATTATTTTGTCACAAGTTAAAATATTTTTAAGTTAAAATATAACACGTAATTATAATTCAATGTTAAAAACATGCTCAAAATCAGAAAGAAGATGGTTTTTGTTTCACTTATCTTAATATAAAAATAGCTTTTCTTATAAAAATAAATGTACCTTGACTTGATTTGTTGTCAAAACCTACTATATTTATATATATTTATTTATGTATATTTGGTTCACAAAAAAATCTACTTTTTTAATTTATAGATTTATGGTAAAAATACAAATATAAATATAAACATTTTTTGTAATTCAATTTGTATTTTTTTCCAATATCCTAATTTTGGTAGAGACTTTAAATTTTAGTGTCCAATAAAATTTAATTGCTTTATAAATAAATAACATATATTTTAAAAACTACTTGACATTTTGAGGGGCCGCTAATATATTCTCTTTGCAATTAATTTTTGGTGTAATACCAAACCATATTTTTTTCTTAAAGCTCAAAATTAAAAATCACCACCAAAATTAGGCAAAAAGTTGTACCTGTTGAAAATGACATATGCTTCAATTATCTGTTGAATGCTAGCCCTTACCTTAACAATAAAAAATTATAAACTTCAGGCGGAAGTCAACAATAGTGAATTCCTGCCACATATGGTCCTTTGCCAACCGCACGGAGACAAACGGGTGTTGGCAGCGGCAGCGTCGGCACCGCAACACAACCGCATTGCACAGGCATTCACTTAACAAAATATATTTGTGACACAATGTCTCAACTATCACGGTTTAAATTTATTTCATCCAGATTACTTTTAAGAATTTCCCGCGCGCCGTCTCAAATATGATTTTTCCAATGCGCATGAACAGCTCACTTCATTTATTTACTCTAGAGACAGACCGGAAAATCGCATAGAATAAATATTGTTACTGAAAGAACTGTGTCTTAGTCGTTGAAACGATGTAATCTTTACGTAGCCGCGCGAGATAATATAGAAATAAATTAATTATCTTATATTAAAACCAAATGGAAATATAAGGTGTCAGATCTTTTCAAAGGCGACGTGCACTTTGGCCATGTTTGACATGAATACACGCAAACGTGAAACCTACTAGACGTATCTGTCATAAAACTAAACATTCGCGTTGCGACATCTACCGACAAATTGTATATTTACAGTTCTGTTTTACCTACGGAGCTTGGAAATGGAAAATTGGAAAACTACAATGAACAACCATGAAAAGATCTACTTGCCAAGCAAGAAAATTCATACTTTATTTAAGTGGTATCTACTTAAAGTATACATGATCTGCTGCACTGCACAAACTTTCCATAATAATTATGTAGGCACTAGACTTTTTATTTTTCTTTGGCATATCATGTTTTAAATGAAAGCACCTCTATAGGTGATTTATATAATAAATCACCTATAGAGCTGCTTTCATTATTATATTTATTTCATTATTATATTATATTTATTATACTGTCGACTATTAAACAACTTTAGATATTTTATTAAAATACTCTTTACTAAATCTAACGGATATGCCCAAAAGAGGATTATACACTTAATATCAATATATATTTACTAACAACGTCTCCTCTATTCATTAAAATCATAAGATTATTTTAATCATAAAAGAGAGCTCTCAGTCCAAAGGTAGATTTTATAGTAGTATTCAACTATCTGCATAGATGCATATGTAAAACCGTGGTTCTCTAAGCTGAAATTGAACAGAATGGCAAGCATATTGACTGGTATGAGATTATGTCACGTGTGAGTGCGGCGAAGTTGGCGATTTGAATCATATATTTCTATAAAATAGTCCTAGATCCAATTCCATTGATCTCTTCACACGTCCATTCAACTTTTGTCCAATATTTTTTTTTACTTATTTTTTGGAAAAGAATATTTAAAAATTGTGGTTGTATTATACAATATTTCTTCTTTATTTATAGTAATTGTTTATTTATATCTCACAGTTCATCACTTTTCACTCCGTTTCTAAATTTCATTTTTATGTTATGTAAATAAAAGATTCCGCGTTCAAAAGACAAATTATAATTTATGTAAGTAAAACTCCGAATCCAAGAAAAGCCAAAAAAAAGGAAAGAATTAAAACTTCTCCGAAATAAAAAGGTACATTTTGATAGTTCTGACATGGTTCTGACACAGTCATATTTTCCAATGATTTTATAAATTTCTCTATGCTTTAATTTTTCATCCAAATTCCGTACCTCTTCCATAATCTGTAATTTCTGCTTTCTCAACCCTTTCGTTCGCTAAATGCGAAGGCAAAGCCGTTAATACTAAAAAAAAGTACGTTTATATGACATAGGCAGTTAGATTAATATTCATATTGTAATAAAAGTTTAAATTCTGCTCGACTGCTAACTTTTATACTTATTTACCAATTTCATCACAAAATACGTTTGACAGCTTAGATTTATTGATTAATATATCACCTATTTATTTATTCAGAAAATATGCCACCGCCCAAATTGGCCAAACAAGAAAAGAAAAAGGAAATCACTTTAATTCGACTTCCGATCAGTGACGCTAGTCTAGTTTTCGTTCCTAGTAATGCAATTGAAGGTAAGTGTTGCCCAAATATGCATGCACAGAATATATTCAATTTAAGCAAATTAGTAGCAGTACATCTACTTGTGAAAGAGTTCGTATAGGGAAGTAATGCCACCTTACCTATGTCTGTCGCCAAGCAGTAATGTGAGCATTACTATGTTTCGGTTTTGAAGGGTAATGGTGCTGGTCAAATTACAGCCACTGGAATTTTTCAGCGCATCTCAGGGTGACGGGCGCAGTAGCAATGCCCCTCAGATCTTTGGAATTTAAAGCTCTGAGCTGCACTGCAACTTAGTTATAGGTGTCAGTCCCAGGCTATAAAACAAGTTATCCAATAAAGTCAGTCCTCTACGGTAAGTACATAAAAATATAGTAAATTAACAGTATCTTGAGAATACGTACAATCCTGTTTTTTTTATAATTACAGGCTTTCAAGAGCGTATAGAAACTGGAGTAGAATGGGTTCTCACAGAACAAGCCTTGCGCCATCATAAAGCTCTAGGTGGTAGAGAGCATATTCCAAAAGTTTCTTTCTCAAAAGCACTAAAAAATAAAATAGAAAATAGCATAATAGGCGAATTTCTAGACAATAAATCATCTCTCACACTTCGGCAACATTGGGAAGTAACATTACCTATGACCATTTTTGATATACATAAATGTGCTAACGAAGAAGGAAAAATATGCTACAACAGCGACAACTGTATAACAGATAATCCGAAAGATTTAATCAAGAATGCTGTGATAGCAAATAGTAGAAAAGTTTTGAAACAAGACTTTAAAAAAATCCTCGTTTTGAGAGTAATTGATGCCAAGGTACACATTACATTAACATCCCGTCCCTCCAAAACCTACAGACAAACGAGCAGTTCGAAATATTTTACAATGTCAAATAGGTCTAATATCACGATATTTTACTACCATAATATTCAATTAGTTTTTTGTGAAATTGCTCTACTAGTTATAATTATTAATACAAAGATCGGTAGTCCATTTGGAAAACAGTTTGCTTTTCAATTCGAAGCCTTGTAGCGGCATGTAATGTTTGGTGGAAATAACTCTCGCAAATGGTGAAGAAAATCATCGTGATGGAACCTGCACGCCGAAGATGGTTCCCAACCTTTAGAAAACGTGTGAAGTTACTTACCCGCATTGTGTCAGGGTATGTCCAGTAGAGGAACGGTTGTGTATTTAGAATCTAATGTACCTGTTCTAAAATCGGTATCAAAAGAAAAGGATTGACGTCCGCACGGTCCGCGTTGGTGGAATGTGCCTTTTACTAATGAGATGATCATTATCTGTAAACTCATTCAAGACTCGTTCGCTCTGTCTGGTGCTAAGGTTATTCTCAGTAAACTGCACCAACAGCGCGTTTTGTTCCATGCCAGGACACATACGCTCTGTCTAATGCTAAAGTTTATTATCAGTAAACATCACTAGCAGCACATTTTATTCCATGTCAGGACATATGCGCTCTGTCTGGTGCTATAGTTATTATCAGTAATCTGCAATAGTAGCTCAATATATTCCATGCCAGGACTCAGCCGTTCTGTCTGGTTTATTATATTAGTTTAAGAACAAATCTAACAAACAGTAGTTTTGTAACACTAGAAGTACTAACATAAAAAAGATATATATTATATTACACACATTTATTTACAGTTCAGAAAAGGAGGAGTATGTTGACGTATAATATTTTTAACTTAACTCGTAATAGAGATTTATTTATGTCCTTTTGTTTAAAGTTCTCTAAGGCCATAAAATTTAATTCTAATGTTTAAAACTTCAGATAACACACTTAGATAACAGTATTGCAAAATTTCCTTTCCTGGTGACTCTAAACCTCTGCGGAAACTACATCGATGCATTGGATACTTTTTTTTTACCAAGAAATTTGAGAATCCTTGAGCTTCAAGCAAATCGCATCAGCAACTTGGAAAGTTTCTATAATTTACCTGAAAACTTGTTATATTTGGGATTGGCAAAAAATTTATTGGCAAATGGTAAAATTGTGTAGACCAGACATGTAATTTTTATACACGAACGTTATTACATATCAAACTTTATTTGCAGCCAGCGGTCTGGATATATTATCACGATTGTCTCCCCATATCTCGGCAATAGATTTGTCCGACAACGACATCTATGATTTGGAGGCAGTAATAGAGCCACTAACTAAACTTCAAACGCTCCAATCTCTTGTTCTTGCAGGGAACCCTTGCGCGGTAACTAATATACTGATTAGTACTTTCCGGTACGCACAGATGGCGCTGCCTAACCAAGAGAATAACTATGTTATAATTGTATTACAGCCCGCATGGCATATCTTCAGTTTATCATCGTTTTATAAGTTTAAAATAAAACTTGATTAGATTTAAAAAGAGCAAGGGCCTATTTTAATCTCATTTGAAATCTAATAATGGGCAAGGGCCCAACAACGCAACGATGGGTCGTTTATATAAACTGATAATAATACATCACAATACTTTAATTGTGTTAATGGTTGTCTTTCCAGATGTGTTTGGGATATGCTCGCTTTATTATCACAAAAATGCCCGGCTTAAAGTATTTAGACAACCGTGAAATAATGCTGACTAACCGCCCCGAGGAACCATACGAACCTCACCCCGACGACCTGCGCTCTACATATTTCTTATTCACTGTCATACGAATCATAAGTGCACCACTTCCTCCAAAAGTAGATAAGGTCATTTTTGCACATATACACATAAGTATGTACATAAATAAAATATCGCTGGAAAGTTAACGAAGACACTATTAATAAATATTTTAATAAAAGAATACGTATAATCTAAGTGCTGTTTTTTGTTAATTAAAAGCTTGGCTACTGGATTCATTACACAAAATCAATATCAATAAAAATTATTAATCAGGAAATTGCTCTTACGGGGCTATTAGTTTGCGCTCTATCACTTAGTGTAATTTTACAATTTTATATGTCTACGATCTCTCCAGGGTGTCATTGCCACATTCCACGTGGAACTAGAACTACCATTACTGGACTCTCAACGAAGAATGTTCCTGATGTTCCGAAGAAACGGATCCCTAACAGAGTTAATGCCTGCTCCTGAAGATGACAATACCAGTGATCACGATGACAAAAATATAATAGGTCACTCATTGTTTGTTTATACAGGATATTTTGTATAATACTAACAACCTTGCAGGACTATAGGTATTAGTAACATCATAAACAATATCTCTTGTCCCACGACTTTTAAAATAAGTATTTATCAGACTCACAAGTAAAAATACTTCGCTTCGTTTGTCCAACATACAAACGATATCAGTTTAAAGCTTTTTGATATCTCTTATATTTATGGAATAAGCGCCTGGGCGTACTTAACGATTACACCTGTATAACAGAGAACACACTCGCAGTCAAGCTAGTAAACTCCTGAATCCTGTAAGGGGATGATACGTTTATATCTCAAAAAATAGTTTCATTTCCTATGTGTAACAATCGCGAAAACCTAAGAACTCGATATTAACAAAGTAATTATGTTTTGTAAAAGTCGTGCAACAAAACTTATGGTTTATGTTGCTTGTAAATTAGTAAAGTATCCTGCGAGATTATTAGTATTTCACAAATAACCTTATATAATTTGTCAAATGGCATGTATCTATCTATCTTTTTTTTGTTTAGCTAAGTAATATGAAAACATCTTAATTCAATACTATATCTCCCACGTACGTAGTAAACCAATAAAATGGCATTTTCACTTTTTCTTTAACTTAATCTGTATATTATAGGTTCCATGTTTTAAAGTAAATACAACACTGGGTGTGCTTTTTCTGTTTTGTTTACTTTTAAACATGGAACTTATAGTCAGTTCGGAGTGCGTTCAGAAACGGATACGCTTCCCTACGCAGTGAGAATTATTGTTATAATTGAGCTTTTGCCGTTTGTCCAACACGCCACGGACGAGGTCGGCAATGTGCTAATCTGCAAATCCAACGTCAACGAGGGTGAAATTTACATGGGCAAGATGTCATTGTTCCAGAGCCTCAGCAAAGCCGAGCAGATGCAATCTCGCCGGAGGTATGAAGGCGTGAAGAGTCTCCAAGATATTATCACACTCCTGAAAGAGACTGACCTGGACGACGTGCCTACATTCGTGGCGAAGGAGCTGCACAAGCTACCCCCCGTCAGGTTCGATCACGTCGATGTCACCAGGCTGCTGAAGGATATTACTTCCTTGAAGTCAAGCTTGGCCGAGTTGCAGTGTAGATTGGAGGCTTCGGATAACACCATAAGTGATCTGTGTGCCCAAGTTGCGTTATTAAGCAACGCTGCTTCGGTGTGTAGGTCACCAGAAGCCTCTAATGTTAATCCGCGTCGTGGGGTGCAAAATGCATCCATCAGCAGTGTCAAGTCGACACAAATGGTTGCGTCACCGATCGCTGCTGCCGTCGTGCGTGATGCGCCGCGCCCTGCTGCCCGCCCCTCCGCCCCGGCGGCGGCGGAAACGTCACGCGTGTGCATGTCAGCCCCGGCACGTGCATACGCCGCTGTAGCCGTTTCTACCAGCCGACCCGCCACTTCAAAATTCGAGAGGCGGCAATCGGCTAAGAGGAAAAGCAATCCCCGTGAGCTTGTCTCTGAAGTTATAAAACCACAGAGGCAGACGGACCAGTGTGACGAGGACGACTTCACAAAGGTGGTGAAGAGGAAGAGGAAGCCCACCAGCCGTAACCTCTGTGGCACAGCACTGACAAGATCGAACTTTCTGTTACGCCGGGCCATACCGACGACTCTGGTGTACCTATCGCGACCACATTACTCCACGAAGTGTGAGGAGATAGTGGAGTACATCAGAGTAAAAGGCCAATACACCCCGGGGATCGAGCGGTTGAGTCCCACCACAACGTCAATTTTAATTCGTTGGTGGTGAGAGTACCGACCGAACATCTGTAGCCGAAAGGTGTTTTTTGTATGTATATCGACGGTTCCGCGGCCGGTTACGACACCAGATTGCACCACGCGGCGCCGACAAGTGCGATTCGTATAGATTAGTTATTTAATTTATTATATTGTTAAATAACATTGTATGTATATTAGTCCTTTTTTTATTTTTTTAAACAACACACCACCATATGGGCCACATGACCCATATAATATGGTTTATATTATACGGGTTACATGGCCTGAAATAAATGACTACATACTGTGTATATATATACATAATTTTTTAATGAGTAAAAAGGATGTTTTACATTTAAGTTAATAAGTAAAAAATGCCATTTTGTGGCTTACAACAACTTACGCGGGAGGTACGAGTATTGTATGTATATTGAAACAAATATTGAACATCCCATTTAGAAAACGAGTCAGCCAGTGATGAAACGACGGGAGATATATTTGCTCGTCTGGAGGCAAAGAACTCCCGTGAGATCCATCACTACACCACGTACGAGAGTAACAAAATACCATGGAACAAAATAATGAACTTCCAGGAACCAACTGTTAAGATTTTCTGCCCAGACCTCACCGCCGTGAGAAATACCTTCAGATCTGTTATCACCGTCAGATTTATTTACTCGCTGGTAACACATACTTAATAATAACTTTAATGTCGTACCCTTGGTATAATAAAGCCACATGAAATAATACGTCAAAAATGTTTTTGTCCCAAAAAATCACATTTTTTTAATAAAAAAAGAACCGACCTCAAAATTACTTATCTGTTTTCGCTGTGTTCGTGACATCTATTTGCCAAATTTTATTGAAATCGGTTAACAGAAAGTGGGTGAAATCCAGTAAACTGGATTCATCCCCTAATTTACCACCCTTAGATAAGTGGAATATTTTCTTCAAATTTAAATAGGACCACTACTAAGATACACCGTTTCCAACAAAAAATAATCATCAAAATCGGTTCACAAATATCGAAATAATCGCGTAAGATACACACAAATAAATACAGTCGAATTGAGAACCTCGTCCTTTTTTTTGAAGTATGGGAAAATAACGATGCGAACTACGTAAAACAAATTATGTATATGTGAAAGTTTGTAGATCTCCTATTTAAGCACTTTGCTATACTGAAAAGTTGTCATTTTGCAGATATGGTATTATTACATCAAGGGTGCCAATATATTATTTGAACATATGCTGGAGTCGTTCATTATTTTACCTAAAGCTTTTTATCGTTTTTACTTTATCGCAAAATGAAAAAATCATGTGCTTCCAAATGTTTGCAATTATCAATTTTTTATGTAAATATACGCCCCAAAAATCATAAATCTGTCTACCCGTGTACATAAAGTCATTATAACTTACTTTGTACAAGTACTTACTTGAATTGACTTACTTTTATAGTAGCGGGAGAGCCCCTTGTGAAAGAGTTCGTGTAGGGAAGTATTGCCGCCTTACCAATTTCTGCCGCCAATCGATAATGTGAATATTATTGCGCTACGATTTTGACGGATGATCTTTAGGTGCTAGTGAATTACAGGCATATAAGACTTGTCAACTTATGTGTATTTCAGGGTGACGCTCTCAGATTTTTGTGATTTAAAGCTCTGAGAGGCACTACAACTGCTATAGATAGCAAACAAGCAACACATGGCTCTACTGTAAGGGTGCTGGTTAAACTACAAGCACATGGAGCTTGTCAACTTGCATGTCTGGGGACGGGCGCAGTGGCAGTGCCCCTCAAATCGTTGCGACTTGAAGCTCCGAGTGGCATTGCAACTGTTATGGGCAGGCATGTCGTTTACCACCACGCGTACAACTTGTTCTCCCCGTCATTTCGTGTCAAAAATAGAAGGACATGTCGTTTTGAAAAACCGTGTAGACTATAAACCCAAGAAATCTCATATCAATAATATTAAAAAATTTGAATAATACAAAGTTTGGATTTGATTATTATTAGCAGACACCGTCAGTGAAATTAGACAAGAAGCTGGATAAGAAGGACAAAACGTCGACGATAAAATCGCGGCCAAAAGAGATGCGAGCTACCATTGCTAGCATCAAGTGTGCCTTGCGGCCATGCGACTGGAGTCAACCCGCGCAACACTTTCATTGGGATGACACTCTTAATACCAATGAAGCTGTACACTGGGGCGATGGAGATCTTTCTGTAAGTTTTATCATGTTCCAAAGGATAGATATTAACAATTTTATAACTTGTTAAAAACCTCATATTAAAAAGTGTATTGAACTTCATCAAAATTAAAATAATTGAATGGAAACAAATTTCTAAATTTAGGAATTTTATTTGGAAAAGCATCAAGGGTTACACACTAAAAAGACTTTATTTCATGTCGAACTAGCTAGGATTTTTGCTTTAAACCCTGATAAGTCCTCACTTAACATTTCATAATAATGTCGACTAAACGAAAAAATAATTAAGTAGGTAGTTATTGAATATTCGTGTTTAATATCCTGATATATTATTTGACACTTCATACTAATATTCTAAAATATTTAAATAATAAAAATTATCACCGAAATTAGTACAGAACACTAAGCTGAAAATTACCCTGTTTTCTAGGAACTTTTAATAGGAAATGAAATTATTTTTCCGGACCCTTTACAGGTCCCATGGTCACGGTTGAACGAAACGTCGGTTTGTTTGAAAAAACAAATATACGCGATTTAAATCGTGAAAAATAGTTTCATTTCCTATGTGTAACATTCGCGAAACCTAAGAACTTTTAATATGTTTATGGAAAACGGGGTAAAACTCAATTCGAGGACTAATAAGCAGACACTTGTTTTATTTATTTCTTGTACTGAGGTGAAATTGACTTTAGTGTTAACTTAAAATTAGTATACCCAAATTGCAAGGACCCTTTCGCGTGTTTGACACTCAGTCCATCTTTCAAAGAAATAATAATAACTCTGTAGTCACTCTGTAGAATAGGGGTACGGAGAAGATATTTCAAAAAATATGTACAGTCACTTATATCTACTAATGTATGAAATTCAAAAACGATAATATCTATATACTATATCACAAACACATTTTTTAATAAATTGTATATCAAACACTAACAAACTATCTATATTAATACGAGTAACTTTACATGTTACAAAAATTGTAGTATGTTTTTCATTTATAGGCAGTTCAATATTACGCTCAAGGTGTGACTAATAAACCACAAAAAGGAAAACCTGAATCAGATGTGACTTCAAAACAAGTCGCTCCTGAAAACTTAACTTGCCATTTTAGTTTCGGCGTGGAGTCATTTCGAATCCCTGATCAATAAATGGTTCATGTGTTAGCTTCATTATTCTTTTATTTACATTGAACGGTTACGAAAGAGCTATTATCCAATTGACTCCTTGTAGGAGCGTCTGTTGCTATGTACAGAGTTCCATTCCTAAATGGTCAGACCCCTACAGAGCGTCAATGTGCAGTAATGCCCGCCATTAAATCATACATATCATAGTACAAAAATTGAACATTTCTTGGAATGTAAATTTCATCACACATCGTGGTGTGTGTTATAACAATAGGGAAGACAACCCATATCCTCAATTTCAATTAATGATAGTCAGTGGCAACGCGAAGGGTCACCACAGTAGATTTGTCTGTCTACAATGGCGGGAGCCCCACACGAGAAATGGGGAAACCAGGTTGAATATTTGTTATCATGTTTGGGGTACGCTGTTGGTATTGGAAATCTTTGGAGATTCCCATATTTGTGCTACAGGAATGGTGGAGGTAAGTTCCATTTCATCCAATTTCAATTATTACACCTATATTAAAAGAATATCATAACAAGTGATGGAAATTTACAGGAGCATTTCTCATACCATATTTTTTGACACTGGTAATTTGCGGGATTCCTCTGGTGTACTTGGAGACCACACTAGGACAGTTTGCTAGTGTAGGTTGCATTTCAGTGTTCAACATCAACCCCCTGTTTAAGGGTACGTAGTAAAAAACTTGATAATCCTATATGACGCAATCTATAGTATAACTTTTATCAATTATTTCAGATTACACTTATTTCTCCTATATTTTTCAGGTGCGGGTTATGCTACCATAATACTAAATGTAATAGCGGTGACATATTTTGCATCTATAATGGCCTATCCTATTCTGTACATTTACCACTCTTTTAGCTCGCCTCTGCCTTGGCAAACATGCGGGAATTCATGGAATACCGAGAAGTGCACCGAGGTAAGATAATTTTGGGTGCGTATATTTACATCAAAATTTGTACAATTCTTAAACATCAACCGATTTAATGTTTCATATTCAGATTACAGGGAATTCCAGCATTTTCAATTCAAATGGTTCGATCACAACACCCGAAGATGAATTCTTTCAGTAAGCGTTTCATTAAAAACATTCCTTCTTTAACAAGATAAATTAGCAAAGGGTAACATGTTTACTTACAGATATGATTTATATGAGCTAGAAAATGAATGAATGACCACCGTTTCCACAGTTAATACCGGTTTTTTTCTAGTATTCGACTTTTAAACATGTCTGAGGGAATAAGCCACATTGGAGGCATCGTGTGGCCAGTTTTCTTTTGTAACGTGATCTGCTGGATTCTTGTTTATCTCTGTATATGCAATGGTGTCAAGAGCGTCGGAAAGGTATCTTTACTCGTAAAAATTCAGAGAATTTTTTCTTGGCGTACTGCCGATATATCTCTCAAAATATTTTTGTAAGAAATTCTTTAATGATAATTGAACTGAATTTTATGTTTTTCAGATCGTCTACTTCACTGTTTTATTTCCATACTTTGTACTTTGTGTTCTACTCGTTCGTGGACTTACCCTACAGGGTGCATGGCAGGGAATTCTTTTCTATATTCTACCGGATTGGGGTTCACTAGCTAAACCAAAGGTATGTAGGTGCTAACAACAAATAGACATATTAAATCAAAATTCGTTGAAATTTATTACATTGCTTGTTCAAAAACAAAAGTGTAGTTCATAATATATTGTAGAAAATATGTTCCGAGACAAACTTCGTGATCTCGACGAAATTTTCATCCAAATTCATTGAAGCGGATTTGGCACGGCATCAAGAGTGACTAAATTAGTTCAACAATTTCGTAAATTCACACTAAAATACAATTTATGTATCGAAGCGAGGGATACAAGCACTTATTTTATTTTATTAAAGCCACTTAGGATCGATGAATCATTGGCCTCGAACCGAACCCGCAGTGCGTGCTAGACTTTATGACTATGATCTCGAGATCCATTTCGTCTACTAGGTCACAGTAATTCTATACGTAGATACTAATGTTTGAACAAAGCAATGTTTTCAGCCAAAATAATATATTTTGCCTCAAATATTTAGTTATATAGAATAGAAATATTTACTGATGTAAATCGTACTTGTGCATGTTTGATTTTGATTGACTTTAATAACTACAAATTAAGTATCATCTCTATATTAACACTACAGGTGTGGGCTGATGCTGCAACCCAAATCTTCTACTCTTTAGGTCCTGGCTGGGGAGGTTTGGTCAGCATGGCCAGCTTCAATAGGTTTCATTATAACAATTTGAAGTAAGTAACGATGTAATGGATTGCGTTCAAAAGTAAATGCTATAATTAAGTGAAGAAATGGAATAATGTATAAGTATACTCTATTTATTTCACTATATTTTAGGGCGGGCTCAAAAATCATACCGCGAATAAAAAATATCTTCGCGAAAAATATCTCCCAATCCATATTAAATGTTCATGTAGGTATGTATACTCTGTAATCGTTTCATATAGTCTATATGAAACGATTTGTTCGTATTTATGAGTAAGATGAATTTGTACAAGTACTAGAACAGTAACTTTCATTCTATGATACTTTACAATACTATAATTACTTCCATCACCTTATAGTTGCAAAATTTTGTTTTTCTTGTAACAAGTTTTTCCATATCACTCGTGTCGCAGTTAGAAAACCAATTTAAAAAGGAAAAGAGTTTATGTCCTCGAATATATATTTTGATTTCTCGTGTAACTGTCTTGTTATAAAAGATCTCATTAAGGGAGTCACCACACTTATCGACACGGTATCACATAGGGCCAGTCAGAAAAATGTTTGTGTCCGAAAGAGCCGGTCAGAAAAATGTAATAAAAGCGAAAAAGACGTTTCGCGTTTCGCTTGCGCTGCGGAAGGCACAACGACTTTTCCGCTCTTGTTATATGGACATAAAGATTTTTCTGACCGGCTTAATACGATTCTATGTCGATGAAGATAGTGACTCCCTAAAGCCACACTTTTGTTTACAGGTCCTCAATAATAATACCGCTTGTAAACAGTGGTACCAGTATCTGGGCAGGGTTTGTGGTGTTTTCAGTCCTCGGATTTGCTGCCGAGCGAGCTGGAGTGCCAGTCGGCCAGGTGGCCACGGCTGGACCAGGATTGGCTTTTGTTACTTACCCAGCTGCGGTTGCAATGATGCCTGCACCCAATTTTTGGGCAATCACTTTCTTTGTTATGTTGTTTTTCCTCGGTATCGATACTATGGTGAGTATGTGCACAAGTTTATTTGTAAAATACTAACAACCTCCCAGGATACTTTACTAACAACATAAACAACAAGTTTTGTTCCACGACTTTTTACAAAACATAATTACTCTGTAAATATCGAGTTCTTAGGTTTTCGCGATTGTTACACATAGGAAATGAAACTATTTTTTCGAATATAAATCTCTCAGTGCCTGAGACTAGTGAAACATATCATCCCCTTACAGGATTCAGGAGTTTACTAGCTTGACTGCGAGTGCGTTCTCTCATATACAAGTGTAAGCGTTAAGTGTGCCCAGGCGATTGTTCCATAAATATAAGAGATATCAAAAAACTTTAAACTGATATCGAAAGTACGTTTACCTAATGAGTAAATCGACATCAATAACTTTTTTTAAATAAAACTAGAATATCCAGAATTTTAACATTAAACGCTTTCGTACATATTACTAACATCGTAAACAAGAACGCTTGTTGCATGACTTTTTAGAAAACTTTTTTTTTAGAAAACAAATTTCAAAAATAAACTTTTAAATTTTTGTTTTGCTACCTGACACTTTTTAGACCTGTATTTGGTAGTAAGTTCAAATACACAAGCGTTCTCGCCGTCACCCACCACACCCGCCACACCGTCATCTAACGCTCCTGCGTTTTGCATCGGGCTGATATTTACGCTAAGACATTTTTTTAAATATATAATACCAAGTGAAGGGACGAACAAGTCGTGCACCTGGTGGTAAGCGACACGCCTGTCCATAACAGTTCTTTAAATCGCAAAGACCTTATGGGCACTGCCACTGTGACCGTCACCTTGAGACATAATAAGTCCCATGTGACTCTAATTTCACCAACACCCTTCTAAACCGGAATGTAGTAATGCTCACAGCTCATTAGCGGCAGTAATAGGTAAGGTGGCAGTACTTCCCTGGACGTATTGTCTACTGCGACTAAAATTTCTTTGTTACGGCAGAGTTATCACCATTTAGAAGCTATCTATTTAAATTTTATTTGTATTTTTTATGCGAAAGTGAAATCTGATGAATTATTAAAAGTCATGGAACAAAAGTTATCGTTTTTGATTGTAGTAATACAATCCTGGGAGGTTAGTATTTTACAAATAACCCTGTAACATCTTGAAAGCTGTACAGTTATATAGTGATGAATCTGTACTATCTTAGTCCAAAATGCGTATATTTTAATAGACAATTTTACTTATAACGCATTAACTTCATAGGCTACTTATACACTGTATAATTTTATTCAGAACTAATTACATAAATAATCGGATTATGGTAATTTATGGTGATTAACGCGATTAAATTAAAATACCGTTTTTATGATACAGCCGAACTTGACGTTTCAGTTCGTGACCATCGAAGCAGTGATAGCAGGGATATTAGACGAATTCCCAAAGCTGCGTGTTCGTAAAAGGTGGATAACCCTCCTAACCTGTGTAGTATTATTTCTACTATCAATAATCTGTAATACTGAGGTATGTATTAGAAATTTAATATATACAGTATTTTTTTTTTTTTTGGTCTACATTATTAATAAACGGTGTCAGGATTTAAGGATCCAGGCGGTTGTATTATTCAATAATATAATTAATAAAATTAATGTATATGAAGGCACGGTAAATGGGCGGCTTCTCAACTCAACTTTCTTTTGCGTATGTGGGTTATACGATTACTCTGACATTTGTTATAAAGTTATAATTTAGATTGACAAACAATTGACATTTGTTTATTTTTTGTTAATCTAGACAACATATACTTAAAACTGAACAGTACGTAAGCTTAAAGTTTGCATGTTATTTTTTCTGAGTTTCGTAAAGTCCGAGTTTAACTACATATTAAAAATCGACGAGATTTTGCCAGCCTTTGTAAGAACAAGATGGAGAATGTTGCGTGTGTAGGTAACTACACATATCTCACAATATTTCGTGACCTTAAAACTCATAACTTTTATAAAACTTAGATAGCACTTATCCAACTATAGTAGCAAAACGTTGCGAATATTATATATAACACAACTTTCTACAATAATAATGTCCAGTGAAACAAGAAACAGCCAGCTAGCAATCCCGATGCAGACGGATAACATTCGAGCTCATTAGTAGGTACTTGATTACTCCGTCCAGAAATTTTATAGGTTTAACGTGTTGTCACTATTTACAAGAAATATTTTCAACAAGCAGCGTATGTAGGACAAAGGGAAATATAAACGGAAAACATTTACTTATCTACTCGGTACATTGTTGTGAATCATTCAATTTATGCGAAGAAACTTAGAGTAAGGCCTCTTATCCAGCAACATAGTTTCAATGGAATTGCTAGTGATAAGTTTGACATTCACATAGCCAACGTTTCACCCTTAGATATTACTAGGTACCTACTGTAAGTCAAAGTAGGTTGATTTGGTATTTGATTTTGTTATCGTAAGCATTTGTTTTGAGAAAATTCCAATGTTAACTGCTTATAACACATTCACATGACGCATAAATCTCGTATAAATTCCTTTAAAATCCGGCAGTATATATTATGCTCTACGTATTTTTCTCTTACGGAGGAGCTTCATAATAAATTAGAGTGACTGCAAAATCAGTGCATTAGATTAAATTCAGCTTGAAAACATATTACCACATTTCCTAGTTTAGAGATGAACTGAAGTTATCGTCATATTAAGTTTATTAAATATCACGATGTTTTACTACCATGATATCAAGATTTTTTGTGAATAGTAAATTCACAACGAACACTAAAAGAAATTCCTTTGATCTGGCTGGATACGAACCAGCGACTTCGCCATACTGTGGCTGACTCCCAACTAAGCCACGGAACGAACCAGCAGTAAGGTTTCTCTATGTGCTTGTTTGCAGATCTTCGTCGTTTTCGGTTTTAACTACTTTTTCCGTAGCGCCATCTGTAAGAAGTTTATGAAAGTTTTTTTCTTTACTCTTGAACTGAAGTGACTTAATGTCTCCGTAAAACCTTATTGTCTCCGTAAAAACACTTTCCAAGTTTCCTCTATAAAACCTCGTTTTTCCCCTAATTACCTTCCGAGCGCTTTAAATTCCATCAGACTGTGGGTGAACGACTGCGTTATTTTTCTTCAATTTTTATAATATCACGTGTCAGGACAAACAAGTCGTGCGCCTGGTGGAAAGCTACATGTCCATAACAGTTTCAGTGCCACTCACAGCTTTATGTCGCAAAGACCTGAGGGGCACTGCCTCTGCACCTGTCACCCTGAGACATAAGTTGACAAGTCCCATGTGCCTGTAATTTTACCAGCACCCTTACCCTTCTAAGCTGGAATGTAATAATACTCACATTACTGCGTGTTGCTTATTGCAGACATAAGTAAGGAGCTCTACTAAAAACTCTACTCTGCTGCGTTTCGGCACTAATTTGTCTCTCATCATACCGTATATTCACAAATATATTTCATACTCGTTCACCATAAAAGTTGTTCGTGAAACCCAACGCAGATTAAGCAAAAAAGTGCCCTTTTGAGGTCTTGGACTAGTTCGAACTCCTGACGTTAAAGCTTAAAGATTAATTAATATATTCATTTATTTTTATATGGATTATGTATGTGTTAGGTATCATCATTTATTAAATATATATACATTCGTATTTTTTCATCCATCCCATCTTCCATCCTCCATCTCACCTAATGGAAAGTGACGATGATTTCGACGATGGAGCATACACACCTAAAAAATGCCTATTCACTCTCGCCTTGAAAAGGCCCAAGTTATATCGTTCAGGGAACAAGTCTGCAGGCAGGGAATTCCACTCCATAGCCGTTCGCCATATAAACGTGGAAGCATAACGCTTCGTGCGAATCTTTGGAATATCCACAACATAGTGGTGAAACCCAAGCCTACGCCTAGATCCCCGGTGATCGAAAGGGGATGACGGAATTAAATCGTGTAATTCCATCGCACACTCTCCGTGATATATCCTGTACAATACCAATAAGCAGGCAACTTTATGGCGGTGTTAAGGCTCTGCAGCTTCGCCTCCACTAATTCCGAGTCACCTATTAATCTTTTGGCACGGTTGTCAATTGAATCCAAAGTAGCCAGTTAGTATGTAGCAGAGCCATTCCAAAGGTGGCAGCAGTACTTCATGCACGACCGGTGCTTGGTACAGCTGAAGCAACTATCCCGGTGTAAAGTAACGCCTCAACCTGGAAAGGATGCCTAGCTTCCTTGCTGAATTTTTGGCCTTGGATTCAATGTATCTGCCGAAGTTCAAATTTGACGACAGGTACATTCCAAGTAGCTGGAGACAGTCGGCTATCGGTATGGATATATCACGAATAGTCGGAGTCAGCTCAAAGGAATTCCGTTTTGTAAGGAATAGATACGCCTGCGTTTTGGCAGCGTCAAATTTGACAAGATTGGCATGGCAATCGGAGACTGCCTTGAGCGTTAAATCTAAACGGCTAACCATGGACTCTCGACAATACTGGTTTTCCTTTCCACTGACCCTTGTATTGGTCAAGTACCTATCTACAACTGTGCTGTCATCAGCATACGCAAAGGTACCCGGAATTAATATGATATGCAGCAGAAAGAGACTTGCAGACAGTACGGAACCTGAGGAACTATATATATTGCCGTATGTGGGGAAGAGTAAACTTCTAAGACCACTTGAATCGAACTTTCGCTCGAGAAATCCGAGATCCAATTGCGAAGGTCGGTGGGGAGCCCATAAGAGGGAAGCTTACTTAAAAGGGCAAGCCTTTCAAAGCCTGTCAAAGGCTTTAGAAATAACCAAAGACACTGCAAGTGCTTCGCCTTGCTTTTCTGTAGCCTCGCTCCATATGTGACAGGCATACACAAGAAGATCTCCAGGCAATCACTGAGGAAGTCGTTATCTTCAAGGTATGACAGGAGACGGTTGTTGAGTACACGTTCCATAGTCTTGTAGAGTGTGGAAGTGACTGAGATAGGTCTGTAACTGACAGGGTCAGATCTGCTTCCCTTTTTCGGCACAGGTTGCACGCTTGTCAGCTTCCACGACCTGGGACCTACACCAGTCAAGTGAGAGGCGGTACAGGCGTGTGAGAACAGGAGATAGCTCAGGCGCACAATTACGCAGGTTTATTGCTAGAATTTCATCTGGCCCGCTAGCTTTATTCACTTCTAGATTCCGCAGAGTTATATGTACCTCTTTTTGGCGTATGCGAAATGGCGCCATCGTGCAGCCAGTCCGAGATAAGGTAGGTGGTAGGTTCCCTGCGGCATCCAGACGCGATCTCTCTGCAAAGAGTGAGGCAAAAAAATTCGCCTTCTCTTCGGCAGTATGAACTAGCGAGCCATCCGGCCTCAGCAGAGGTGGCAAAAATGGGCAACAAAAGTTAGATTCGACCGCTTCGGCCAGTGAACAAAAGGATTTGCTGCCTGCTGGATAAGAGGCAAGCTTGATCCCTATGGTCGAACTTGGCTCTACGTAACACGCTTTTGCACTTCTTGGCGGTCTTATTAAAAGCTTTCTTCAAATTCCGAGTATTCGGAGCTCTGCATAGTCGATGTACATCTAATACAAGAAATTTACCTGTGTGATTGATTATTGAGCGTTCACTGTTTACGTCATCGCCAACTCAAGAATCAGCAATCCTTTAGAGACGTAAAACCACTTCTACAAAAAAAATTTAAGGAGAGAGGTTTATAGATTCTAGGAACGAAATTAGCCGATCACTTTTTTATGCTTAAATATTTTTATGTACTTCGTGTCATTTTAATGACTTTCTTGTGATAAAAGCACTTTTGACGTACAATAACCCGTGGTTTTATTATACCAAGGGTATGACTTATGATTGTTTTGTATAGTTGGAATTTCTGAAACAGTGTTGTAATAAATGTAAAAATTGTCATCAGCATGATTCAGCCCTTCATATCATAAAACATTTACCTACTACATAACGACGTGCGTTTGGGTATGGCAGGGTTCATACGAACTCGTACATTACAAAAATTCCCGCGCCCGGAACGCTTCCGCGGTCGCCTCTGTGTGGCCAGAGCATTAGACTTCTGATTGCCCATAGCTTAGATATAACTCTTACTTCCCATTTATTTTGGTGAGTTTTGTATGTTCAAGTAAATCAATTTATAACTTCTGGAAGATCCCAGTAGTTAAAACTACTTTTATTGGATACCAGAAACCTAAACATTTATTTATTTTACATAAAATGTCATTGTATATTTTGATTGTAGCATTGTCATTTCCCAAAATATTAGTTGCCATAATGGCAGAGATTTTCGTATTATAGTAATATCTGAAAAAGAAAAATGTCGAATGATGTACAATATGAATATGATCATTGCCGTTCTACAAAAAAAAAATTAAGTTAACAATTTCCTACGTTTCAAGATTACATCGTATTCTCGTGTGTATATAATCTAAGTATTTTTAATTATATCTTTATTTTCAGGGCGGTCTCCATGTCTTAGGGCTTCTAGACGCACACGTGGCAATAGCGTGTGTTCCTTTGGTATGCCTTTTGGAGTTAGTGGGTGCCGTTTATACGTATGGAGCGAAGAAACTGAGCGCAGATATAGAGTTTATGACTGGTCATCCGCTTAAGCCGTTTTGGCTCATTTTATGGAGATATATCTTGCCAGTTATTCTCATCGTAAGTGTAAATTAATGAATCGTGGATAGCATTTTCTGAAACAGTATTTTTTGCCAAATGAAAGGGTAAACTCAATTTCTTTTTACTTTTTCATGCATGTTCCGTGTAACTGTTCGCCGTAATGTTGCCGCTCTGTCATATTTTGGTTGCCTACAAGCGGCGTGCAGTAGAGTATGTATATCAGAATGATTTGTTACAGTGGTGCGTCTATGTAGGATCCCCATTCATTCAGCTTGTAATCTGATGTCGGCCTTTTTAGGGTTTATTTTTTGTTTTAGGTAATCACAATTTACACATTGCGCGAAGCTTCTGGTTTTGCTGGTTGGTGCGTTGCGCTTGCGTCTGTCATTTGCATACCAATTCATATTATTAGACTTATCTATCAGACGAAAGGACCATTACTAAAGGTAAAACAATTTCTTGTATCTATGTGTAGCGAATATGTATTACTTATTTATATCAAAACAAAAAATGTACGTATTTGATTTATGCACGGCTTACCATTACTGGTTCACCACAGTCGAAATGAGATTCCTATTTAATGTACTTGGGTAAAATGAGATTAGACTAACAAAGAGAAGTATGAACGAAACACACCGAGACAGTTGTTTCAGCTGTACCAGCACAAGTAAAACGGAAACGGGAACCCCTGAACACTTATAAATTAGGCCTTTTCAAGGCGAGAGTGAATAAGCATTTTATGTGTGCGTGCTCCATCGTCGACCTCATCATCACTTTCCATCAGGTGACATGGAAATAAAAAACGCACATATTTGTTTTATTAAAAAAAACGCATTATGATTATAACCTTTAGAACGTTAATAGAGTTGCTGTAAGAGATTCTAACACAAGAACCAAAATCGCAAGATTTAATATTTTTCAGCGAATACGAAGCAACTGCCAGCCCCACAAAGATTGGGGTCCAACTGACCCTGAAATTCGCCAACGATGGATTGCCGCCACGAATATACAAGACAACGGCACTCAAGAAATGAAGAATATATAATATTATTTACAATATAATCGATTAAATATTATTAAAATCTATTTATTTATTCTTGTTTCATTACATTGCGCCCTAATATAATTAATTACTTTCTTCATTAAGCCATAAATTTCTATTATAAACTTGAAATTTAACGTAGGTATTTTGTTTAGTTCATAGTACATAATTATTTATCACACTGAAGTTAATAAGCCAAGTTAATAAGTGACATTTTTCGTGCTAATTTCGAAAATCGGATATTCGGCCAGCAGCCCATACTATTCGTCGTAACCTTGTTCAACACAAATTTGTATTCTTTTTCTTCTTTTACTTTATTAGGGGTGCCCTTTTTAACCGACTTCAAAAAAAGGAGGAGGTTCTCAATTCGACTGTTTATTTTTTGAATGTGTGTTACGCGATAACCCCGGTATTTGTGAACTGATTTCCATGATTCTTTTTTTGTTCGAAAGAGGCTACCTCCATAGTGGTTCGATTTCATTTTGAAGAAAATTATCCACCTCTAAGGGTGGATGTTCACGCATGAAGATTCATTTTTATAAATAGCGCCTAAATTTTATTATAAGGAGCAATTATTTTAATGGTTGATTTTGCTATTCTCCAATTCCAGGCGTTTTTCTCTCTCAATGTACTATAATACAACCGATTTTTTTGATCTCCTGTGTCAAGTCCCATATAGTGGCGAACTAGGGGACGAATCCGGGTTTGCGCACTTTCCGGTAACCGAGTTCAATAAAACTTGGCAAATAGATGTAATTTCACGTACTTTTGAGGTCGGTTTTTTTAGTACTCTGTACTGAGATTAATGGACTTCGCCAGTATCCAGTTTTGTCTAGTAATTTTAGAGGTCTCTGCAGGTTGAGGAAATACAAGGCTTAGTACTAGATTTTAAATTTTGATGATGCAGTGCTGTGTAGTTGTTTTGAAATAGATTATGCATATTATATTGTATTAATTAACAGTAAATCTCGCTTAAAACGGGCACTATACATGAATCTCGACGGGTCAAGCATACTAAACGTGATTTTTAACCGACTTCAAAAAAGGAGGAGGTTCTCAATTCGACTGTATGTTTTTTTGTGTATGTATGTTACGCGATAACTCCGATATTTGTGAACCGATTTTCATGATTCTTTTTTTGTCGGAAAGGGGGGTACTTCCCTAGTGGTCCCATTTCATTTTAAAGAAAATCATCCACCTCTAAGAGTGGCTGTTCACGCATGAAGATTCATTTTTATAAATAGCGCCTAAACTTTAATTTAGGAGCAATTATTATTTTAATGGTTGATTTTGCTATTTCTCCAATTCAAGGCGTTTTTCTCTCGATATACTTTGAGTATGGAGAACCTACTTTTATTATCTCCAGTGTCAAGTCCTGTACAGTGGCGAACTAGGGGATATTTCAATAAAACTTAGCAAATAGACGTAATTCCAGTACTTTTGAGGTCGGTTTTTTTTATGATATCTTCCAGTGACTTTTTTCCCTTATTTTTTTCCATCCTCTAAGCTTTTTTAATTGCAGCTGACACTGACATCCATAGTCTCATGAAATCTTATGCAATTGATAAATAAAATCTATACTGTCATGGCTACTTAAAATATCACCAGTTTCGGTTTGGGGTCATGTAAATTTGGGGGACACAAAATTTACAAGAGCAAACGATATTTTTTGGAATTTTTCTAAATTGCAAGTGAAAAATTAAATTAAAGTAACAATGGGTGATACTTCTGGTGATGCTAATGCTACAAATAACGGCAATGAAAATGATGACAATAAAGACAAACGATCAGTTAAAATCGCAGTAAGTATATCATTCTGTTCTTGTGCTAAGTGTAACACGTGTAACATTTACATGGTTCATGTAAAGCATAAACAATATGAAACAAATAGGTACACTTAACAATCTGAACATAATATTGTCACGTGCACACTAAGGCACACTGACGGGTGGCTCGGCAGGGAATCCTTCGATATCCCTGCATACAAGCACACACTGATGGCAATGATGCCGCGGTATCCCTAGGTACGACGCAGCATTCTTAAGCATGCTTGAGCGTCCTTAGGCATGCGGAAGCATTCCATCGCGACATTGTGCTTGCACCTAATTTCTCTTCAGATCAGTCTTGCCGTAAGTGCCTCCCCTCGCTCTGCATCCGAAGCATCCCGAAAGCTGCCGAAGTCTTCCCAAAGCTGCCGAAGCAGGCATCCCTAAGCATACCGCAGCTTTATTTCGTAGCTACGACTAATATCATTCAAATTGCAACTATAATGTCGTAGTGTTAAGGTATATTTATCACCTAAAAATCCCTTGCCGTCCCGGGCGCCAGGCGAAAGAGGTTGTAGGCCAACTGCAAAATACAACAACTGCTTTACAGTAGCAGTTTAAAGAATATATATATATATATATATATAATATATATGTATACAGTACTGTACTACGGGTACTGATCTGTGTTCTTGGTAATTTCCTTTAATGTTACTGTTACAATAACTTTACTTTTACTCCCCACGCGAAGTACACTTTATACGGAAAGCTTAGCTTCAATTGGAGCAGAGTTATTTATTTAAATCATATGACATAACAGGTGGAAGGCGAAGATGAAGTCGGTGAAGGAGAGATTGGGCACAAGAAAATGAAAAGATTCCAACTGCCTGCCAATTTGCCGCGATGGTGGCAGGCCAAAGTTATACAATATGCGTAAGCGAGATCTAATTTATTTACACTGAGGCTGAGCTCACTCGTAAAGAAATATTAACTGCTAAAAGATGTATTTCATAAAATAACTTAATTACTAGGCAATCGCATACAACTAACTAAATAAATATCTACCATAATAATCTATCGTCAAATAAACAATTCGTTTTCGCTTTGCATTTTCCAAACAATTCGCGTGATTTATTACAAAATATTCACACGTTTCCACCACCTATTATATAATTCCATCTGTCTTCTGATATGACACGACCTTGAAATAAAAACATTTACTATAAGACAAACAACATTGTATTTGTTCTGACAGACATAGACAGTATTATAGATATAGACAGACACAGACATAATTAGTAAGAAATTATTTCTTAAAAACATGCTTGAAACAAACGATCTGAATTAAGGCCTATTCCCGAAACCGAACCTCAAAAAACATTAAACTACGTAATTGTCCAAAATATTCACTTAAACTTAAACAAAATATTCAAAATATTCACTATGTAAATTAAATGTAAATCATTTTCGTTTTAACATTTTGCGTCCCAACCCTGTCCTAGTTACGAGACAGTGTAATGGAACTATCGCGCATTTTTTCAATGACACATAATTATTTGCAAAACTGCGAAGGACGAGGAAAGCATCCGGCGACCCGGTCGCGACCGCGACGTTGGCGCCATCCGGGTCACCCGTTGATGCGCCGGGAGTCTCAAGACGGGCGGGGTACTGGCGCGGAGTGCCAACCTGTGGCTCTTATACGCAGAATACCAAACATACACCGTTCACTATACACTCCAAAAGTTAAACAGTTACTTTTAAACACCCTTTGAGTATTTACATGGAATTTCAAGTGAATCACGCGCTACCTTGAAGTTCAGGACCTCACATCAACCTTGTGGCTTTACCAACAATTAGTGTATAATTAAAATCAAACCACTCACCATTCAAAGATAATAAGTTTCGCGTTTTGTCGATAATCTTTTGAATTGAGGTGGGAATTAAAGTTGAAAGGTGTCAGGGTAAGAGATTAATGTTCGCGTGTAGAGAACGTGGGGTGTGCACATTGGGGGGGTGGCTCTACAGGGCAGCGAAAATGGTGGCAACAGTCATTGCACCTTGGAACGCAGGGGAAGCAACATGCACAGTTCTCACCATTAGTACCTCACCATTAGTACTATGCAACGGTCCGAGTCGAGTGCATCTGAGGGCTCCTTCTGGACGACCATAGAACTGTTGGCAGATCGTGGGCGACGCAGACGCTCAACTGCAGATGCTGACGATATCCTCCCCACACTTGATCTTCCCTCTAGAAGGACTTCTGCTGCCAGGTGCTTATTTTAACCAAACAATTTGCACAACCCCTAAAGTAACTTACGTTTTTGCACGTTACACCTAAGTAGCTCCCTATTATATTCATGAATGAGAAATTGCTTAGAAACCTCTGCGGCCTAACGGTTGCCATGCTGCTTGGCCACGCAGAGATCCCGGGTTCGATTCCTGAGCTGGAAGAAATATTATGTATGGCCTAAGCTACATTTATTTCTCCCGTGAGTTTGGTTGTAATTTGTGTTTGTCTATGTGGTATCCGCGGCACTCGCGATACAGGGATTCCCTAGTGCGGGTATGAGTGTGTACGTTAAAAAAAACTTTTTTTCACTTCGAGTCCAATAAAAACTTTTCTAATAATTCTGACTATTGTCTTAGTTGAAACTGCTATTAAAAACTAAACTAAACTAAAAACTATATAAGGACAGAAAACGATACATAGTCGAGCAGTCCATTCCAACTTCTAATTTTCAATTTTATTCATCAATATTCCCTAAAAGCAAAGCTTTTACAACACTCTTTCTTTTATCCGAACAGATCGTTAATCTCTTTGAAAGTTTGTGTCTATAGTTTACTCCACAAACAGATGCTTTTGTTTAGGACCAAAGTGTTGCTAGAGATAACTTTGCATCATTCGTATCAGTGTATTCAATTATATTATTATATTGTATATATTATTATGTATATCAATTATATTACTATGTACTATTACGCTAACACCAAAGTACGTAATACCACTCTTATCACTCGAAATAAATGTTTAATGTTTATAATTACTCTTTGCCACACCTATCTACAATTTCATGCTAATTATTTGCCAATCGAGCAACACTTAATAACAAGTTTTTGCGTCACCCAGTGTCTTATATCAATATCATATTTGATATGAAATAGGTCAAGTTGGCATCTCATAGATATACTCTTATAATAACATTCAAGTACTAAAACATCTATATTTGCTACTGCGTAATCTGCTTAATAAAAGTGTTGTTCAAATGAGGGCAGATAATATTATGCTCCACGCAAAACAGAACTCTAAAAAATGTGTAAACTTTTTATGCTTGAAATGATCGATAGTCAATCCATGATCAGATGATCGTTTTATTTTATTATTCGCCTTACAAATTTTATTACCTAGCAAACTAAACTTTTGCTTACACCCGATGTGACAACTTTATATTTAATAATTTTATGCATCGTACGAGGTGCGTGACCTCTCCTTGGAAATTGGTTCGAGCACGATAAAATTCTATTACCTACATAATATATGCCACGTATGAAATATATCGATACTTCTACGAAGAAAGGGTGCAAAAGTCAATTTTATTAAACGTTGTGTATGTAGTTGGGTTCAATTGTCATGCTCATTCTGTCTGTGTACTCAAAATTTAGTTATTCGAGAAAAAAAACTTCTTTTGCGTATACACAGTTAGGTTATCAAGTAACATGTTTAGATATTTTCACGTTCTTCACTCGTTTTGTAAATTTTATAGTATGAAATTTTATTTTTACCCCGAAATATAAGAACCTACAAATTTCACATATGGATCATGTACGTTTATGATGATAGAATAAGATAAAATTATTATTAATTATTATTATTAATTGTTACATAACGTACTTGATATGCTATATATATACATACATACATATATATATATATATATACACTTTGCTAACAAAAAACATGTTTTCTCTTTTAATCATTCTTGGAAATTTCATAGAAATGTTGCTATAATTTATTGATTGATAGTTTTCATTACGTTTTGTTATTGAGAATCAGAGTTGTTACATCGATCATGAGAGGCAAGTATTGCGTCCTTGTCTATAATCTGAGATGACGTGCTGACTTTAACAGATGACGAACTATATTCTATAAATAGCAACCATCCAGTTTTAAATAGCAATTCAGTAAGGACAACTGAACTTTAAATTTTTACACGATAATGACGACGCCTGAAAGAAAATTTCAATTTGATAAAAAGAGCATTTTCCTTTGTTAAACATAATGTCTATGAAATATTTTAAAACACTTAAAACGCCCTGATCAATTACGCAGTACACTTGTTTTAGTTTGTGGTGTATACTTAAAGCATACTGGGCGTCTCATGGCTATGGGACACAGAGTGAAATACTTTAAATGTTGTATATTTTGCTTCATGGAGACGTTGTTGTATTTTGAAAGTAGTAATACTGAATCCAAAGACTTTTACTAAGTTGTTTGCCTCGTCAAGGAATCGAACTGACCAAATTTTAATGTGAAAAAAACATCCTGTAGCTACTTTTATGTAGTAAATTTTAAGTAACATCGTGTCTTAAATTAAAGGAACGCTATGAAATTTTACATTTAATTTTGGAAAATGAATTATAATGTGTTTAACTTTCTTGTTAAATTGTGTCGTACTTTCTTGGGGATACGTGAAAGATTTATTATACATGGAGTATGGTTTAAAGCACTCGAAATCATACTCAAGTTCCTGCCATTAGGGTCGTATTTCCAGTGCTTGTATTTCCAGTGCAATCCTGACTTGAGCATTATATATATATATATTATGAACAGTAGAGTTCTAGAATACGACTCTTAATATCAGTGAAACTATACATTGGAGCGATGGGGTCCTTTCTATACGTTTTATCATGTTCCAAAGAGTAGATAGTAGTAGCAGTAGAGCTCCTTTTGAAAATGTTCGCCCGGGGAAGTACTACCACCTTACCTATTTGTGCCGCCAAGTAGTAATGTGAGCATTACTGCGTTCCGGTTTTGAAGAGTAAGTGTGAACTTGTCAACTTATGTCTCAGAGTGAGGGGCGGAGTGGCAGTGCCCCTCAGATCTTTGCGATTTAAAACTCTGAGTGGCACTGCAACTGTCATTGACAGGCGAGTCGCTTACCATCAGGCGCACGTTCCATTACTTATTATCATAAAAAAAGTAATTGAAACGTATTAGTTCGAATATCCATCGTAACAACATAAGGAAATCTACAGGCAGCGAACTTATAAAAAAACTGAAAAGAATTTGCATACAAAAAGATGGATCACATTTGAACGTTTGATAGATTATATTCAAATACCGTAGATACATTGTTAGGTTGAAGTTTGTATTTTTTTAAATGTATAGGCTGAACGTTTTTCCTTCAAATTCAGATACTATGTTACTTGTAATACACCCCTTCGAACGGCATCATAAAAATACTTATTTTATTTATTTTATTTTATTTTATTTAATAAGGTATA